TGTGTAGTCTATCTGTAATGAATTAACTATGCTATTATTGTCTCTATCATCTTCAGTAAATACTGGTGTAGGAAAAGTGCCGTCCAGCGGCGTGTGAATTAAAAGGGTTGTAATGGATTTTTCATCAGAATTAATACTTGAGTAATCGTCATAATAATCTCTGTCGTCGCCAGCATCGTCTTCGTCTTCGTCGTCATCGTCATCTTCAAAACTTAAACTAAAACTATAGCATAATGCTTCCAACATAAACGCCCAGGTACCAATTTCAACAAGTTCTGTTATCTTATCACTATAATCAGAATTTAAATATCCAACTTTAATTTTTAACTCATTTGCATGTCTTCTGCCAGGGCTGGCAAATATTTTGTAATCCATAAGCAGACAAGATCTGGCTTCTTCCATGCTACCATTTGATAAAATTGCAATACCAAGACTACTGGTTATACCAAGTGGATATATAGTATTCTTTAACCACGTAGGAGAAAACTTGATCCCTGCATTTGGTTTATTCATCTTATAGATACTTTGTAAATTAAGAATGTCTTTTGATGCTTGTCCATATTGAACTACAAATCCATCCGCATCTACGGTACAGTAAATTAAGTTTGGGTATTTTGTAACCAAAGCTTGCAAACTATTATAAATAATAATGTAGCTGTCATCCTTCAGTTTCCTAAAATCTAGTTGTAAAATAATTACTATACCTTCTGGGCGTTCCCTTTTCAATGATAGGATGGAACTTACAGACGTCATCATTGTTTGAAGCGTATCCATATTAGTACCATTCTCAATACCAGAAAAAACAGTTATACCTCTTCTTATAATTGTACTTTCTCTATTATTTTCCAGTCGAGCAACTTCAACGATCTTATTAGGACTAATCAGACCAACGAATGTAGACTTTTCTTCTTCATCACCTAAATTTTGGATTACAGTGGGTAAAGATAGGGTAGAAGTAAAATTGGATTCATTGAATAACAATTCGCTATCCAGAAGACCTGATATCCACTTCTGGATAACTTTACTGGATATGCTATCGATATTTTCAGTCAGATAAAGGCTACTGGGCTTAGAATTTTGTCCATTATTAATTGTCACTTTCAAAACTGAAGAATTTCTTGTCTCTACTTTAATTCCAGTAGTACAAATATATATCTTTAAATTAATCAATGATGTTCCAAGAAAAATGCTGTCATTATTAGGTTTTGCATTGTTTTCTTCATTGATTTCTGCAATCACCATTGATTTTTCAAATAGGAAACATTGACAATTGGTATAATCACTGCCATTTTCAGATACAGACAATTTATCTACTAATCTTAACAAACCAAAATTATCATCACAGGTCCATTTTGTAATTTCTCCTTCAAAATTATTTACTAGCATTTCAACGAAGTATGACCTGATTAAAGGAAGAGGTATCTTATCTTCTTCATCATTACCAGGATCAAAATTACTCGATGCTACTTCTGAAAATATAGATTCATGATCATCGGCAGACGAATGAATTGAAGATGATGCTACAATTGTGCTTCCAATCCTGCTATATGACTTACCAAAATTTGATCTATTTCTTGGACCTGATGGTGGATTCATTAGTGACATGCCTCCTCTATTGATTGGTGACACTGATCTATGGCTCTCAAAACTACTTACTGGAGAGCCTACAGACTGATACATGCTCTTCCTTTCAACTTCTTGAATTGGAGAAGGTAAAGGTGACATTAACTCATTTATCATTTCAGGATCTAATTGATTTAATGATTGAGCGGTAATCGAATTTTTACCAATCAAAAAGTCAGACACTAACCTATCCTTAATTTCATCGCTATTGGGGATACATCTATTAGATTTGAACCGTTCAACTTTACATTTGGCACAGACTGGAAATAAAGAATAAATGTCAGTTTTATCATAATTGTTTGAATTCCCAAAGGATATTGTTAAGCATTCTTGATGTGTAACATGGCCACATTCTAACTGTATTACTCTTTCACCATTTGTTCTATTGGAGATAGATTCCTCACAAAGAGTACAAGATTCGTTCAGGAATGATTTCTTTGCTAGATTAGTTAATTTTGTATATTGAAATGGCATCTGTTGTTTTGGAACATTTTTCTTTGTTTGAGATTTATTGGAATCGTTAGAATGTGCACTGTTCGAGGAAACTTTCCTTGAGTTTTGATGGAAAACCATGGAATTTGGTCTTGGTAAAGAGGATATCCTTGTAGGATATTGCGAAGATGGTGTAATTATTGGTGTGATAGAAGGAACCTGATTTGTCTTTTCAGAATAATTCAATTCTTGCGATGAAATAGATGCCGGTGATTGTGTAGGTGTCTTTTTCTTTCGACTATTGCTTAATTGAAACTTTGCTAACTTCGAAGTCCAACTTTTATTTCTAGAAAATGGTGATGGTGTGCTCTTTTTGCTATTTTCAAATTCACTACTGTTCTCTGCCACAGGTGTCTTTACTGGAGAATATTGATAACCTCCACCGATATTGGTCAATTGGTTTAATATCTCATCATGGTTTGAATACATATCTAATTGTGGCAAATAGTGTTTCACTAGCACTCACTAACTCACTCACTCCTACACTATACTTCGTTCTTGTCTTGCAATTTCTCCCAACACTCTTTTATCAATAAGTTCCTCAATTATTAAACAAAGTTATATAATAGAATGAATTATCGATGAGTTTTAATACTCGAAACTGCAAACGGCAAGTATGTTTATTTTATTCAGATTCAAAAACTTTCAAAAGAGTTTATATTAAAAAGAATTGGATCTGAATCCTAGAACTAGAACCAGAACTAATCGATAGACCCACCTACTGTTAAGACCTGATCAGATATTCCCATTGTTCTTTGCAAAATCTCACTCTGCCTGACTAAATATATGTTATATAAATCTTGATGTAAAACTTTACACGATCTAAGAAATCTTAGCAGTACCCAAATCGTCGTAGTAACGCCAACCCGAAACAGGTAACAAGTTGGAAGGATAAGAGAAGCACCAGCAGAAATGAAGCCAAAAACCCAGCAACAACAGTAAGAGTATTACCGCTGGTGGTGAAAGCTGCTGGAGAGGGCATAATACAGTTTCATAGATAAGAGAAGTGGGCGGGGGTGATCTGTATACCGCAGTATATCATCAAAACTTTTTACTATTTTACTCTTTTTAACCTCTCGATGACATAACACTCTGCGTAAAGAACGGGAACTTTTTGGTTATGCTAGAACTTGAAGTTGCAATTGCTCTATATCTGACTGAAGTACGTAATGAGAAGGTTTATCTAATAATAGGGAGGACATGTTTTCGTTTTATTTAAAATTTAAAATTTCTGAGTTGGTGAGTGAATGAGAAGAAGGGAGGTTATGAGTTGAGGTCACCCAACTACGTTTAACAAAATAGCATGTATACAGGGATATATATGTCTAAAATAGCATAGATAGATTATTTAACGAGAGTTATTTATAAAATCTACGAATACATTAGATGAGTTCTTCTTGGCCAACAAATTAGTGTTGAACATTTAAGGCAATGTAAAAGCCCACATAAATATACAAGGACTTGAATAAATAGGTTGGATATTTGATATCTATAGGAAAATGTATATAAATATTTATTATTATCTGTAGATGTGATCTAGAACTTCAGAAAGGAAAAAGAAAGTTAGGAAAGGACGATAAAATCGACGAATATCCTACGACGACAGCCGCATTCACCATGTTTCTGACAGTACAAACAAATAGTAATATGCTTCACACAAATTTATTACTGAGAAAGGGAAAGAAAAATTCATAATATTGGAATGTTTCCTTTTATCTTAAAAGAAATTAAATAAGAATAGAACCTGTCGCAAGTTCAATAATAGTAAGTTTCATTCATAGTGTGTTTCTTAGAATAGGAAATTTCTCGATTATTAAGAATGGGATAAAAACAAATAAAAGACATTAAAATGAAACATTTACACTAAAATCAGCCTGCAAAGCTTAATTCCTCTGGTGATATGCTTGACTGATCTTGTTCAGAAACATATCTTAAAGTTTCGTATATTAATTCTAAGCAATATTTATCTGGGTAAGATACAGATCCCAAAGGGAATATGTTTTATAAATAGTGAAATATATACATATATATCACGTGATTTTTGTTGTTTGTATTGTTTCAACATAGCTTCATACGAATTAGTAAAGATCTATGACACCAGATAATACGTGTTGTTATGGTTGACACATATAAAGACTAATAGTGACTGCTATTTGATTCAATTGTATATTATTGTATATTATTTACTTACTCTGTACATTAGAAGAAGAAAATATAGAACTCTTTATTAATAAATATACTTATTAACAGTACTAATCTACCACCAAATAGACGAATAGAATAAAAGCAATACCAAGCACTTATTCAACGTACGATTACTAGATATCTATAAATTAAGAATTCACAACAAAGAATACATGTTTTTAATGGAAAAACTCGTCACATGTGATACGATCAAGTTCTGAATAAATTATTTTTTTTTTCTTTTTTGGCGAAAAATTTGAGATGAGATGAGCTTGAAAAATTCAGTTCGAAAGAGCTTATTAACAAGAAGTATCAATTGATTAATCTATCAGTTATATAATAATTATTGATTGAGTTTCCCTTTGGAGATAACATCAGTGTGCTCAACAAGATCTAGTTATTGGTTGTTTTTGTTTTTACTTGTTATCTAAATTTTTTTACCAAGAGGAAAAATATATTCAGAAGCAAAGCATTAGAACTTCAATTTTTAAAGCATCAAATACTATAAATTTAAAATTAGCAAATAATGGCCTTAGCTATCTCACACGAAGACACTCAGATCTTGTTGAAGGACAAGAATGTCTTACAAGAATCTGTTTTGGATAAATACAGAACTGCAGGTCAAGTTTCACAAACTGCTTTGAAATTTGTCACACAATTGATTAATGATTCTTATCATTACAAAACTACTGATAACGCATTGACTATTCCAGAATTGTGTTTGCTTGCTGATTCCTTTATGTTAAATCGTTTGGAACAGTACTATAAGAATAAAGTTAATGAAAGAGGTATTGCGGTTCCAACATGTATCGATGTTGACCATGTCAGTAACGGCTGGTGCCCAGAAATTGATGATGTTCAAAACATTCAACACTGGAATAAGAACACTGATGACCCTGCTTTGCAATCTACTATTACTGGTATTTTGAGACCTGGTGATTTAGTTAAAATTACTTTAGGTGTTCATATTGATGGTTACACTTCTCAAGTTTCCCACACTATGGTCATTTTTCCTGTCGATGAATCTAATGGTTCAAAGCCTACCGGTCCTCTGTTAGGTGGTAAAGCTGATGCAATTGCTGCTGCTCATATTGCTGTCGAAACAGTAAACTCTTTACTATGTTGTGCTTTGACTCCAGAAAAATTACCACCTTCCTTGGGTTTTGGTCAAAGTATCAATGGTCAACTATTGAGATTGGTAGTTGATACAATTGCACGCTCTTACAACTGTTGCGTTGTACCAGGTTCCAGGATTCGTCGTGTTAGAAGATTCTTAGCTGGTCAAAATGAAGGTGTCGTTGCTGAAAGAGAATATAAAGGTGTTGTATGGACTGAATCTCATCAAGAATCACAATTGTTATCAATGGCAGACTCAGTAAAAGATTTGACAATTGTTGAACGTGGTCATTCATCTTTGACTAATGCTACTGCTGTCCCAACTGATGAATTCGTAGTACAAGGTGGTGAAGTGTACTTAGTCGATATTAAAATGGCCTCTTTGGAAAATTGTCCAAAGAAAGGTTTGGTTACCTTGGAAAATGTCGATTCCTTTACTGGTAAGCATCATAAACGTAACCAATTGATTGCCAGATCTGGTTCATATGTTAGAGATTTTGCTCACTCTCATATTTTGAAATTAAGAACATCAAGACAATTGTTGTCTAAAATCGATAACCAAGGTGTATATCCATTTAAATTATCTCACTTATCTAACGAATTTCCTATTCACGAATTGAATGCTGAAAGTTCCAAGGACATTAAAAATGAATTAAAAGCATTCAGATTGGGTATGAGTGAAATTTCAAACAACTATCTATGTGTTGAAACTCCAGTTCAAGTCGCTAAATGGGTACCATGGGATCATATTTTAAATGTCACTAATCCTAACGGAAATCTAAGTTTCGATGCAAGTGAAACTTTGACTTTACCGGGCCATGAATTACCATTACCAAAATTAGGTGTATCTGCATTGAAATTGAAGTCTATAATGAATTCTACTAATGAAGCAGTATACATTCCAGTCGCTCGTGAATCAAACACTGTAGTACTTTGCGCCGGTGATGTAAGTGCTAGTGGTAAGCCTGAATTGTTAAAGTTAACTGGTGGTTCTAAAACATGTTCTCCAAGTTGGATTCATTCTAAATATGAATTGAACAATGAAGATTCTCTTGTTCAAGGTATTTTTGAACTGGCGACTTTGGCTAAGGATAAGAGATTTGGTTTATTATTAAGAGAAACGCAGCCAATGAAAGAGTCCGGTGAATCCTTACAATCTAATTCAGATGCCATGCAATTATAATTGATACTATTTAACATTTACATATCTATTTACATGTACATGACACATTTGGTGTCCTTCTTAGTTACAACTGTATATTAAACAATAAATTCATAGATAGGAGTTTATAGAATAATTTCATATGATACTAGTGTTCCTTGTTTGTACTTATAGTTCTTGTTCAAAATTATCGTTAGCTTCGACAGCATTGTCATCTTCGATGGTTATCCCTAAACTTGGTATCTTGAAATTATCAGGTTCATTGATGTCAGGAATGAAATGAAGTCCTATACAGAATAGCCCTGATAAAAATGCAACAATTGAGGCAACGTGATTTAGGATTGATCCAAAGCTTATTATCCCACTTAATAGAATATAAAGGACCCCCCTTCCAAGAAAGCTAAAATAGAATGATGAATATCGATAAAGATAAAATGGTATTTGGTATTCTAAATATATTATTGGAATGGAAAGTAGGAATCCATACATGCTGAAGAGAAATGCAGTATAGTTGGAATAAACTTGAATGAATTGCGCTATAGAAGCGCAAATGGCTAATGTGCCAACTGTAAGGTTTATCGCTTTGAAAGCTATCGGTTGTATTGTAAACATATTTTTGATGTTTAACTCACAATTTTATGATCCTATACCTATTAATATTTTAATATCTTATTACTCGTAATATTATAATTTTTTATATAAAGTTAATCTTCTCTAAACTATTCAACTTCTGTTCCCTCTACCTTAAATAAACTAAAATTGGCAATTAAATTGTGGGTTAAAATGAAATTTGTTAATTTATGGTGAAACATTCTTGTAACAAATAATAATGAAAATTTGATAATTTCACTTTAATTGAATCATTATATGATGATTCAATATTTGTTATATAATTTCTTGTATATCAATCAAAAATTTAACTATATAAACTTAAATAAAAGAAATATGAACACCAGATTAACAAATATATAATATTCAACATCAACTATATAATATCTGTTTCAAAGATATCAAGTAATATTATCTCTTTTGAATTGGTTAGCGACAAAACAAAATAAGAAGATAAGATTATAAAAGAGACTAACTTATGTTATATACACACCCATCAATTAAAATTCAGTAAAACAAAACAGATTATTTTGGAGCTTGGCCTTCGTCAGATGGTTGTTGTTCATCTTGGTTTGATTCAGACATATCAGAAGTCCACAAGGTTAAGTTATCTCTTAATAATTGCATAATCAAAGCACTGTCCTTGTAAGATTCTTCAGATAAAGTATCTAATTCAGCAATAGCATCATCAAAGGCTTGTTTAGCCAAATGGCAAGCTTTATCTGGAGAGTTTTGAATTTCGTAGTAGAAAACAGAGAAATTCAAAGCTAAACCTAGACGAATTGGATGAGTTGGAGGTAGTTCAGTAGTAGCAATTTCAGAAGCACTCTTGTAAGCTTCTAAAGAAGATTCAGTAGCCTTGTCTCTAACTTCGCCACTTGAGAATTCAGCTAAGTATCTGTAGTAATCACCCTTCATCTTGTAGTAGAAGACCTTTGATTCACCAGTAGTAGCTGATGGGATTAGATGAGAATCTAAAACTGATAAGATATCATCAGAAATTTTGGTTAATTCTGATTCAATTTTTGAACGGTAGCTTCTGATTAAAGAGACTTGATGTTCTGATTTTTCTTTTGATTCTTCTTTTTGTTCAATAGATGAAACTATTCTCCAAGAAGCACGTCTGGCACCAATAACATTTTTGTAGGCAACTGATAATAGATTTCTTTCTTCGACAGACAATTCTTGACCAGAAGAAGCTACAATTTTCATGTTTTCGACCATTTCTTCATAACGTTCAGCTTGTTCAGCCAACTTGGCTAAGTATACAGAATCTTCACGGCTTTGAGACATTGTTACTTTTGATTATTTGTGGTATAATTTGTTTAATAATTGATACTTTAAATTCCCTTGTAAAAGTTTGACTTGATGATATCTTTGACTTCTAAAAACAAGGGGGGTGTATGATATGTTAAAAATATATTTGAATACAGTTAGTTTCTTTTAATAAATGTAAATGGAGGAATTATATTATATAAAACAACCTAATCGAAAATTTAATTTGTTAATAATTTTATATATCCCTGAAATTTTATATATAAATAAATTTTTTTTTCTTCAAAAATGACCCAAAAAAAAACAGATATGTTGGTTAATGAAAGATAAGGATTGCACTGGAAAACTAAACACCCTAGCAAAGCAGCTTTAAATTAATCTGATTCTTAATAGTAAGTTTATAACAAAGTAATTGAACTTTTAATTCAAGTAATATATTAAAAGCTAAAATTTAACAAAGCTAATTCAATTGAATCAAATAGTCAAAAGTTAATCAAAAATTTACCATTAGAAATCAATATTAAAACGTAGAAAAACAAAAATAACAACAAAAATAACCGTGTTATAAAAAAAATTTTTGGGAATTGGACCAATCGACAATCGATTCAAGCTATTGAACTTGGCTTAAGAAAAATTCACACTCAGAAAGTAAGGTAATAAGAAAGGATAGAATCAAATAAAAAAAAAAATTAAGAGAGTTGCCAGTATCCTCCCTAACCCTTTGGGTACGGCAGCTTTGGGTTTCTACACATAACGTTTCCTTGTACAGTCTTTATTGTTATTTTGCAATAATAATAATAATAATAATAATAATAATAATAAAAATTATAATTTAATATAATTTCAATTTCAATTTCAATTTCAATTCCAATTCCAATTCCACCTCTAATTAATGTCTGTGTGGTAGTTGTTTTTTATTATCAGTAGCAAGGAAAAGAGACAGTGAGAGAAAGGAAGTATGAACAAAACAGACCAAAAAATACAGGACTCCAGAATCATGAGAATATGCAACTTCTGGTACTGCAAGCTGTAGTGCTTTACTGGACAAACCCAAAATTCATTGCCATAATATTCATTAGATTGAAAAAACGAATCCAAGAGATGAAAACAAAATATCCTGATGTGTAAAACAGCTGTAGTGGGAAACACGTACGTAATCCTTTCGTGAGTTCGAACACAATAAAAGTAAAATCCAATAAAAAAAAAGTTACTACAATAACAATTTCTGATAGAACCAATTTGTCGTTAATATTGAGAAGAGACAGAGAACGGAAACTGAAAATAATTAAAAGACCCTAAGATTGTGACGTAGTGACGACGTAATACATTAAAACAACACAAATAATTTTTTGAGTTAATTTCTGGACAAGTACTATCCCAATGATAAAAACAGAAGGGCGCACTAATCTAAGTGTGTCTGTTTGTCTGTCTGTCTGTCTGAATTAATGGGTTTTGTCTTTTTAAAATTTCTAAATATTTTTGCAATTATAATCAGTTAGAATGTTCCCTATTTGTCAGAAAGAACTGTGATTCAGTCTTGTTACCGTATATATTTTGAGAACAAGTCAGAGTATGATACGCTCCAGGTTGGCATAAGAGAGAGAGAGAGAGAGAGCTTGAGATAGCATTACTTGGTTACAGTCTAGCTACTTTTCTCCCAACTCGCTTTAATTCTAGTTAACATAAGATGGGTTCATGAACAGATTGGCGTTTTGCTTTTCTACTACTATGGACAGTGGGATTGCACAACTTCCACTTCTATAGAATCAATATGTTGCTTTTTTTTCTCCCTCTCTCTCTCTCTCCCGTGCAAGAGGAGTAGTAATAGTGGAAGAAGCTATCAAATGCGAATATCGTAGCAAAAACATAAAAAGGTAGAAAAACCAAAAATTTAGTCAAATTGAGGAAGTAAAAAAAAAAGGATGTTAGATGACAGAGTTATAGCAGCATATATTGTTCCACATCACACCTGCTCACTCGTTCATTTAGTATATTATCTACATGATATTAAATTTTTTCATACTTTTTTTTTTATTAGCACAACCTAATATGAGTTTTATTATAGTTCTAGCATATCTTTTACCACATACGGTAGAGAGAGTATGTTCAGTTTGGCGATTATCAAGTAGAAAAACTAATTAGCATTGGTTCTTCTTTCCCTGTACTGCATGATCATGCTCTTAGTTAAAAACAAAAAAAAAAAAGAAAAAAAAACCTTTTCGAAATTGTCAAGTTCAAGTTGAAATTATTATTTTTTCTTTTTATATTTCTTTTTCTTCTTTTTTGCTGTAGAATGATAATAAAAAGAAACGATGCATAACACCGCGTTACCCGTCTTTGGAAGTTGCGTTCACGACGATACAATTATGTGGATAGTTGAAATAAAAAAAAACAACCACCGTGTGTGTATTCGTTACCTTTTTTTTTATTTTGCCACCGGGACGGGATCAATAGAAAAGCGGAAATGGTGACTGGGAAATACAGCTGGGGGAGAAGACTTTGCTTAGTTCCTTTCCATTAATTCTTATGTTTAATCCGGGTAAACAAACTAAAGGGTACTATTGTTGATACCTTCATACGGTTAGAACCTATGCTGTTGTTTTTTTCTTTCTTCTGCGCATTTTCTGTAAATATAGGATATACTATACACGTCTGTATAGTATCCCTTGCCTCTGTAATCCCAGAACCAACCGTAGTTCATGTTGTCGATCCAGTTCTTTCTGTCAGCCGCCAGAAGATCTTAGAGTACTTGATAATCTGAGCGGATCTCTGTAGTAATAACTAAAGTGAGCCAAATACTTACAGCGGATGCTGTATTATCGATTCTAAAAAAAATATAAAGACAGGACTAACTGGATCTAGATATGTGGTTCAGTGCATGAGGAAAGCTTGGTTGGAATATTGAGAGTAGTATAGTTGGTGTAATCAGTGAACCATGTCTTGAAATGGCACTTGATATAGGGGAATGGCAAAATATACGGTTGATAAAGTTATATAAACTTAAAAAGAATAATAATATACTGTTTTTGAAACTATTTTGGGATCTCATTGAAGAACTAGGATATAATAATTATGAAAAAAAACACATACCTTATATTTTAACCTGATGGTTCTTTGATTTGTTTTTATTTCTTGTTAATAAAAACTAGTCGTGTTTGTCTCTGTCTCCTGGATGAGAAAGACAAGTATGACAGTTGTAATTAATTTGTCTTTGTGTTTACTTTATATATAGAATAAGAGATAGAGAGAGAGAGAGTGTGTGTGTGTGTGCGGAACAGATTCTATTTATCTGTTAATGCATATCTTTGATGTCAACACAGTGTGTTCCCACCCAAGAGAGATAGATTGATGGAAATAGACAATGACAGACAAGTATATCCTCCACCTCCACCTACCTGCTTCCCCCAACAGATCTGTCAAGGTTCAACGACAGTGTCCTGGGTATCGATCGGTTGTTCTTTCATGGAATAATCCTGGTGGTTCTCAGAATCTAGTCTAGTTTCCAGACTTTCTCTCAATTGTCTTCATTGTTCGTTGTCAATCAAACACTGAAATCGAAAGAAGAATACCAATGGGTAAGGAATACAACGAAATGAAAAATAAAAATAAAAATAAAAAGAACAACGATGTCTGATTCAGTTGAACTTCTATCAAAGGGAAAGAAAAAGGAACCATTGGTCGTTTGTGAAGGAAAACACATAATCAGAGTTCAGGAGCCAGACCCAAAACATTAAATTAGGGGAGCGTCATAAAGACGAGAATGATTGATTACTATGTACGATGTGCGGTTAAAGCTAGTGGAAACTCTGGCGCGTCTGTCTATTGTCTTCGTTTTGTTGGCAGGGACGTGTCTCGGTACGCTAGGAAATACTCCGATACTTCGCTGATAGGGCAACTCACTGTTTGTGTATTTGTGTTGGGCTGTGTTGGTCACATGACTTTCAGTGTGAGATAATCCGCTTTTAGAAAAAAAGGAATTCCAAGGTCTTGGGGTAAAATAGAAAGAAGATTTACTCTACACACAGGTGGAGTACATTTCTAAATCTAATTGGATGGTACTTCTTGCATATCAAATCTCTACACAAGATAATACTCAAGATGATTACCCCATGATTGATAAATGCATGACGAGATCTTGGCGGTAAAGCTCCCAGTTTTATCTCTGTTCTGCAACTTGGCCAAATCAGGTATTGAAAATGCTATCTGGTACAACCATCTGGTACAACCATCTTGGATAACCATCTTCGAATAATATGTGACTATATAAAAATAGATTCAACAATACCTGTTACAGATATTTTACTTTGATGACATAGGAACAAACAACCGAGATTACTACCAATATTCTAAAAAGGCTTATACGACTGTTTAGATCGTAATGACTTCAATCCTTATATACTGCCGTTACTCGACATATAGGTATTCGATGAGGTGAAATGCTTAATGTCACCTGCAATTATGATTGTTATACAAAATAGTAAAATCAACGAGTTGTAATAGTAGAAACACATAAGTCATTGTTCTGTTCTGATAAGCGGAATATGTTCTTTTCCAAGGTACAAGATTACTACTCTAATACAACGTTAAATAACTGTAAAATTTGTCAAAACATAGGATTGCATTACTCTTAAGTTTACTTATATTCACCTAAATAAATATATAATTGAATCATTAAATATTATCAAGGACATTCATTACCAAAGTTGAGATGTTAAGTCTATTTTCTTCAAGTGTGACAAAGTTTACCATAATGATAGCTCACATATATCATTTTCTTGGATAGTAATAATAATTTTATAATCGTGCCTTTGTCTGCCAACCAAAAGAAAGTTTTTTCTGTTTACCAGGTTCTAAAATTACGTTTAAAATAGAGGTCTCCTTATTAACTTTAGATCTTTGAACAGCTAATTTAAAAAATTTGTCCAATTGATTTAAATCTCTAATCAGGTACCCATTTGCGCCAAGTCCCTTCCCTACAATGTCATAACGACAATCTTGGGTTAATGCAGTAGACGGTAGAGCTTTGTCTGATTTTCGTTCTTCAATTGGAACTCCCTTATAAATACCGCTATTGTTCATTACTATAATTATTAAACCTAATTTATTCCTTACTGCAGTTTCAATTTCCATTCCCGAAAACCCAAACGCTGAATCACCTTGAATCAATACTACTGTTTTGTCAGGTCTAGAAAGCTTTGCCGAGATTGCATAGCCTAACCCAACACCCATAGTTGCTAGATTTCCACAATCTAATCTATGTTGAGGATAATCTGTTTTAAATGAAATTCTTGCAATATCCATGGTGTTGGCACCTTCCATAACTATTATGGTTTCTCTATCATTTAATATTTTTCTCAAACTCCCATATACTTCATTATAATTCAACTGAGATGTTGAATGATTGGATTCCTTTTTCTTCAAGTTTATTTCATTTTCTTTGATCTTTATTTTAATATTCTCTGTTGGACCTTGATATCTCCATTGTTTATTCTTGTTAAATTTAATCAAAGATCTGGATAATTTGTCAAGGGTTACTGAGATGTTACCAAACAATGAATATTCCAACCCTTTTGAATTGTTTAATCCTAGATTGGAAGGCGAGTTGTCGATCTGAATAAATAATGTATTTTCATTCCATTTAGAGCTGGAACCAAAATGTAATATCCAATTAAGTTTAGTTCCAATCAAAAGCACTATTTCAGCATTTTTTAAAGCTAATGATCTTGCACTTGCTACATTGAGTTTACTTGAGTCAGGTACAATACCCCTGGCCATTGGCGTTGTAATGAAAGGCAGATTAAAATGTGTAAGAAATTTGGTCAATTTTTGGGAATCATCCATAGCACCATCTCCTATTACTACTAAACAATTCTTCTTATTCTTATTTATATTCTCTAATAAAAATTTCGATACTTTTGTAATTAACTCATCAGTTGGTTGATATTCAATTAATTTCTTAGAAATGGGTTGATGTACAATAGATTTGTCGATTACATCAGTTGATATAGTCGAGTGGAATAAATCGCCAGGAATCTCTATAAAACTTACTCCTTTATTTATTAAACAGGAGTTTCTCATTGCTTCATAAAAACATCTATCGATATTCTCCAAGGATAATTTAGCAGTAAAGTTGATATGTCTATGTAAAAGAGAAACATGATCCAGTTCTTGAAATCCATGTTTATATTGATCTGTTGACTCTATTGATCCTGTCAATACTATCAATGGCCATTTATTTTCTATTGAGTTATATATACCAGCTAAAGAATGAATTAGACCTGGTCCACCGACGGTCAATAATATACCAGGCTTATTATTTAAATAACCATATACAGAAGCAGCATATGAAGCAGATTGTTCATTTCTGAAGGAGATAAACCTGATGTTATTTGCAATAAAACTATCAGCTAATTCGACTACAGGAATACCTACAATACCAAAGATAGTATCTATGTCATATTTTAAAAGGATATCAGTGATATGCTGAGTGGCCTTTACTTTATCTTGCATGGTTTTTAGTTAGTTGTATTAGTTATAATGGGTAAGTAGATCAACAAATGAATGCATCAGCAGTGAATTTATCTAAGCAAAGTTTTTAGATCAGAACCAGATGATTATTTATATACGATTCAGACTTAGTCATATTAAAAGACATAAAGAGGGAAATGCTATTTGGAAAAAAAAGTCTATTAAATTATAGGGTATCTATCACTTTGTCATAAAAATGGACTAAAGGGAATCTAAGAAAAGCAAAATAAAAATCTATATGACCTATAAAAAGAAGAGAGAAAATATCTCATTTGATTCACACACACAATAATAACGATTCATTATCCATCCTAGAAACATATAAACAAGTCTATATATAGAAAATACATATATAAATACTTTTTTGATAATGTAAAAAGAATGATTCACTATAGTATAATAATAATAGCAAAACAGGATAATGAAACGATAGTCTAGAAACTGTAATCTCTTGATTTAGATATCTTTAAAAATCATGTAAAAATTCAATATTTTTCTTGAATTCATGATGAGCTTTCTCAACTAATTAAAGAGGAAAAAAACAATAAGAGATACTATTGTAACAAAACATCTCAACGATTGTAATGACTTCTATAAAAATGACACACACACATTTCATGAAGAAGCTTTACAAGATCAATGTTTGTTGTATCCTTTTATACCTATCATAAAAGTTTAACAAAAAAAAGTCTGTCATTGCTCATCACATTGGCGGCTACCAAATCATTTCGATCTAAATAAAAATTAAGAACCACAAAAAAAATAGTAAACAAAATACTATTTTCTTCTCTTCCTACTAACTATTCTGGGAAATTACCTTCGGGACACACAAAGAAAACACAAAAACCAACGGCAAAAGCAGAATAAAAAGAAAGAAATGGAGAATGAGTGGTCTTACCTTTCGAAAATTTGGACCAATATTGTGGTAACGGAGATAAGACAAAATAACAGAAAATGAAAGCGACAGATCAGAAAAGAGACTAACGTCAGAGAAGTTTCTAAACAAATAGAAAAAAAAACTATTTTTTTGTTTGACACATCTCTGATAATAATGATTTTGGGTAGATTAGAACTAGAAAATTATCTAGGACTAATTTCTATCCATTTTCACACACACAGGTAAAAAATTAAAGTAATAAAGACAAAACGTAATCTTGCACAAGCACGTAGCATACCGATATAAGTAAATAACATCGGATCCTTCATATAGTCAAAAAGGTTATATATAAAAAAACGACAATAATTAACTATTTGACGTTTTGACAGAAAACAGAGTATAATAATATAAGGTTTTTCTTGAGGTTAGTTAGAAAAAATCTTTAATTGGACTGACCAATCAGCGCAAACATTAACGACATGGGCGTAGCTAAGGAGACATATAGGGAGACCATAGAAATTGACATATAATTTATATTTGCAGAGTTTTTAAAACTGAAATTTTTTGGTTTTTATTAATTAGTTATTAATCATTAAGGATAATGAAAAAAGGGAAATAGTAAAAATAAGTTAAATCTGAACACATATAGTTGAGATACAGATTTGAACGGGGGTGATAAAGAAAGTATAACAAAGCCGAAATGTTGAAGAAAATAGATACGACACATTATGAGACACAACAGTGGTGGCTTTAGAAAATTATATTGTATAATTTCTTGAAACTCGGAATAAAGAGAAAAAAATCGAACTAGCAGTAACCAAAAATATTCGAATCTTCAATATGTTCGATATTTGTAGGTGGGTATATATTGAACTCTTGTTCTTGTCAGCATCTAAATAAGCAAATTGATAGAAAAATTTCAACAAATAAATTGGAAGGAAAAAGTATATATATAGGGCGACTTTATTACAATTTCCGTAGAAAATGTATTAGCAAATTGTTAAAAATTTGATTATTAAAAATGACTGACAATAGTAAAAGATTAAGTGGGATGTTGGAGATTAGAAGAAGAACATATTGGTGGACTAAAAAATATTTGGATAAAAGATAATTTTGTTGAAAGATTTCAACCGGAACAAAAAAATGTTGAATACAAAACTAATGACACAGTGAAGTTATCACGTATGAGAGTAGTAACATATAACTTGTAGCATTTCGAATCTAAGAAATGAAAAAAAAAATTGATAAAAAAAATGAATCTTTAATTTAAAAAGTTAAAGAACATTCATCTATTTATTAATTTTCAATTCTTAGAATCTTTGCAAACCTCTTTGTCTAGCTTGCCATTTTCTGTAAGCAATGGTACAGACAATAGCAATACCAGCTAAACCGACTAAAATAAAAACTAAAATAACACCACCTGGTAAAGTCATATCTGATTAATATAAAAATTCAATTAGAAGAATGATTGTTTCGCTTTCTTTTATGTTTTAAAGTAGTGTGTGGGTACAATTAAAACGAGAGCGTGTGTGCTTTCTTTAGGATAAAACAAGGAAGAATAAGAATTAAAAAATAGTTAAAGAGAAGATATCAATAAGAAAACTTTTAAAAGGAATATACAACAATTAAGTATATATAGTAAAAAATAAAATCGAATTTAATATTGAGAGAAAAAAAATCGAAATAATTGATTATTGATAGTGTTAAACATACGCAAATAGCAAGAAAGAAATTACATTTTTGCAATTGGGAAAATGAAATTACTTATATAGCAAAAACGAATAAGAGTGAGGAAAATAATAAAAAAAAATTTTTCGTTCTTCTTAGCTTTGGATAAACCAACCGTTAAGCTGTTTTTTTTTCTTGTTAATAGTTTATTGCGAAACAACTATTTGATAACATCATTAGAGAATCAGGGACAATAAACAGTAGAGTACAAACCTTTTAGCCAAACTGAAAAGTGGAAAAAAAAATAACAAAAAAGAAAAAAATACCTTTTATCTTATTCGAAATTAGTATAATGGCTCTCTCCTTCACTTCGTCAACGAATGAGATGAATAAAGGAAATCAAAGTGAAATGGATATGGAAATGGAGATGCTAGTACGGTTGCATTTACAGAACAGAACATAACTCTTGATAAAAGTAAAAGTATAAATGAAAAATTATTGCCCTCTTATGCAATAGAAAGTGGGAAGTTCAGACAAGCTTTGCTCTCTTGGTTGTAATAATAGCATATGAACTGTGTTAACTATACTTGTTATGTTGTGTTATAAGACCTTTGAGATAAAAAAAATTAAAAAAAAACGCGAGTGTGGATGTTGTTCTTGTTCTTGTTCTTGTTCTTGTTCTTGCAGTTGTCATTGGTACTAAGTTTTGGTATTGGTTGTTGAAAATATATGGCTTAAAGGGCACAAGATAGCAGAGTAAGTAGTGTTGATTACGTACAAATGCTAAATTTACTTTGAATTTGGTTGTACAAATGTAGTTATGCATAGTATTGTTATAACCGTTTGAGAGAGTTTGTTTATCATTAAAGAAAAGTGAAAAACGAGATGGAAGGACAGGAATCTATCTAGTGGTGTGTGTGTTGTTGTTATGCACCGGAATTGATAGAGCAGAGATATAGTGTTAGTTCTTTGCACTACTAATTATTTTTTGAATATATTTTTCTTATTTATAAGTTACCTAAAAGAACAACTGATAATAAAAATTGCCTAGAACATAGTTGAGAAGACAAGGCGAGGCATAAGGAAATTGTTGTATCTTGGTTTGTTTGTTAGGACGGAACAGGACGGTAATTTTTTAAAATTATATAAAATATTATTCAATATCTAAGTCTTTACGTGAATATGATTTTAATATGATGACGTTCGTAGCAGCGACAATAAATTAATTACCGCAGAAACAGAGAGAATAAGATATAATAATGGTTATCAAAAAAAAAATTGCTTTTACTATCTAATTCTGAGTTTTAAAGCATGTTCTTCTCTTACGTTGGATGAGCATGATGACGGAAGGAGAAGGAAAGAGGAAGGTGCAGATACACACACACATTGTATGTTTACAGCATTTTTCATTTCTTTTGGTATGTCAGGGTAAGGTGATGGTACCTATACGGGTAAAAAAAAAGATCATGAAATGTATGTATTTCAAGCAGATAGAAAGAAAGAAAGATTAATGAGTAAATGAATGAATATGTGCAGCATGCATGTATGAGTAACTAAGTTAGGGAAAAAAATTACAAATACTATATAGTTCTTAAACCTAATCATTCCAAATCCTTGTAAACATCTTCTCACCCAGCCGTGGGTTGGTCCGTCAATCGATTAATCAATTAATCAACAAATAAATCTTTGTATTTGAATAAAAGAGAAGTATAAGCTACAAGGAAACGAGTGACTGATGTATCGAAGTCAGTACAAGAGATGATTGTAAATTTTCAAGAGTCTTTTACTTACTTAAGTGACCCGGGCTGCTTTTCAATTTCCTTCTTTCCACGTGAGAAGCACATTTTATCATACCAACTAGCATCGATAGGATAGGACAAGACAGATTCAACCAATCTACTATTATGAGTTTAGATATATATATATATATATATATATATTTGTATGCATGTGTGTTTGATCCACCAACATATTTACACATACCCTATGATGAGTTCTAGTATTTGAATTTCAACATTTACACACATATTTCACAATGATTTTGAGTTAGGTCGAGTCTCTTATGTGTGAGTATATTTGTCTATTATTTACATTTTACTATTTTCGGACATCCTGCTATTTCTGTAAAATATTTCCACTTGAGTGAAAATGTTATTGTTTAAGGGAAAACAAAAACAAAAACAGCAAAAAATTATCAAAGTTTGATGGAATCAATATTGAACATAGTTAACCTGATATATTTTATTCAATAGATCCTGTCACTACCATCGTTTGATATCTGTTCAATGTGAGATGAAATTCTTTGAACCTAACTTGAGTCGAAAAACAATAACAATAATAATAATAATAATGGTAAGGTAGTGACAATAACAACTCCAATACAAGTCCAATATTTTTGCCTATTGTTCTGTTCCTTTGTTCATCTTATTATTATTGTTGTTGTTGTTGTTGTTTTTTAGACTCTTACATAACTCCCTTTGCTTTTAAATTCTTGAAATTATAATATTCTTGTTAGAGGAAAAATATAGAGATTGATAGAATGGATTTGATCTTTGTTTATATTCCAATATTTTGATCCAATATTATTGTTTTTGTTTATTATTGATTAAGAATTGGATTTAGATTTAAATTGGAATTGAAATTTCAAACAGTAGTTTATTGTTGTCATCTATTCTGCCCCACAAAATAAAAGTAAAGAACTTAACAATATTTTTTTATTATTTTTAGTTTTGGGACCATTTTTTATATAAAGATTATAATAAAAACACTAATTAATACAATAATTAAATATACAGAAATGAGTTCCCAATCTTCAGTTTTTCAAAAATGGAAGAAAACTGATCTATTAGACTTAATTGAAAAATTGAAAATTAACGATATTTCTTATCAAAGTAAAAAAACCACTTTGATTCAAATTATTGAAAATTATTTGAATTCTTTAGATGTGCCATTACTAGACATAGTGGAATATCCAGAATTGCAATCTTTCTATTGCTCGGATGATTATATTCCAAAATCAACAAAGAGAACTAATAATCATGTCGATGATTTATTAGTTAAGGCAGAAGAATCTGTTTTAGAGGACACCATGTCTTCAACTATATTGGAACAAAAGCCTTATGAAATACAAGAATCACAAGAAAAAATGGAATATATAGATAAAGAAGAGGAAGAAAAATCGGAAACCCCAGAAGAATTGGAACAAGAAAACTTGGATAGTAATAAGAAGAGAAATTATAGCAATTTAGATTTTAGCGAGTCAACATCAACTCAATCCTCATTTAAATTCAAGTTCGAAAATTATTTGAACGATATAGTTATTAATGTAAGAAGAATCAATGAAGACATCCAAGATTGTTTGTCAACTATTTATTCAGTTGCAATTATCCTATATTTAATTGAATTTTTCCACATAATAAAATACCTATTTGCGATATATTCTGTCGAAACTGATAAAATAGATATTTTTACAAATATTATACTATGGTTGTGGTTTTCCTTCCTATTACCATCTTTAATCAGTTACTATGTTAATTTTATTCGTTATGATCTTCCAACAATGGAAATGGACCCAATGATTTTTTCAATAACCAAGACATTAATTGCTTATACTTTAAACAATTGTAATTATTATTCACATAATGGATTTTTGATGACACCTTTACAAGTCGGTCTGGAGGTCTGGAGAAACTCCTTGGGTCATCTACCTATGATGTTTGGTATAGTTGGATGTCTATTGACTTTATATATCTTTTAAATTTGCGTTGCTATCAAGAAAAATAAAATAAAATATAAAAACTTTTTGTTATTTTAGTTATAATTTATGTTTATCCCTTTTTACCACCATCCTCTGTCCCTCAAGTTCCCTTAATGGAAGGTCATATTGGCATAGAGACCAAGACATAAATAAGTTCAGTTCAAGATTCAAAAAGGTCAGATCACATCTTCCTTCAATAAACAAGATATTCTAATTAATAGAATCTTTATCTTCCAGCTTTCAATTTGCTGTGTCTTCTTCGTCCATTCCCGATAGGTAAAACAGGGTACTTGTGTATATTAAAGAGTAGGTTTGTAGTTAATATAATGTAATACTAGTTGTTTGAACAGAAGCGAAATAATAAGAAAACCACATACATGCGTATATTTATTTATATATTTATATATATAGTTGAGGATAAAGATAGACATGTGTTATGCAACACTTGTATGTGTGTCTACGTATGCACATGAGATTAAATCGAATCTTTCTACCAGGTTGGCTTTCATCCCTCCCTTCCCTTCCCTTCCCCTCGTCCTCGCCCTCAAACGTACATCGATCTATATTGAGGAACGACCATCATGTCAGACAGGAAACAAGGTATTCAACAAAACCAACGCCTCCTCTCTTCGAAATGTCATCAGATCGATATCTCACTTGTCAGACGAGACAACGCCAGTTCCAAGAGTACCAACGACCGGCTGCTTGATCGATCTCTAATCTAATCTGATCGCCCTCAAAAAGAGTAAACTACACTGAACTGAACTGAACTAAACTAAACTAAACTAAACTAAACTGAACTAAACTAAACTAAACTAAACTAAACTGAACTAAACTGAACTCAGCACAGCTCATATATTAAGGAACATTAGCCGTTAGCTGTCTCTCACAAACCAAATCTCTCACAAATCGTCCCAACCCTCTCTCCCCCCCCCCTCCTCCACCCCATACAATTCCTTCGTTACAGCTCATAAAACGATATTACTTAGACAAGTTCTCCCACTACAACCACAACTATACTCTTACACTCACTGGCTGGTCTTCGACAGAAAGAGATGTAAGACAGGAAAACAAGAACATCCTACAAGATCGTCAAGTCAGTGTTCGAAACTTCAAATGCAACAAACAACATTTGTAAATTAATCAACTGTCCATCACACGATGGTTAACTTATAACATTAACGCATCCTCTCCTCTCTACATACATCCTCTTGAACTATATATGTGCTATTTCTATTTTGTTCTTATGACGTTAAAATAAAGAGACTTCACCACAAATCAGAAAAAAAAAAATTACTCTTGTTGACTTGACTGGTTCGAGCAATCACAATTCCAATCTTGTTTCGAAATTGTCAATGAGCCCCTCGTTTCGAAACTGGATATTGCTTAATTCAAGGAGAACTTGATAAAAGATATTATTAAACCATGTTAATTCTAAGAGAGGTCATAGTTTTTAAGTTAAACGCAATTGATATTTTGGGTTGTTAGCAAAAGAGGATTGTATGGGATATGATGGGATGGGATAAGAAATGGAAGGGAGCTAGTACGTGAATTTAGGCAACTTGTATTATATTTTAAGCTAATTGTCTAAACTGTTGTTGGTTGCTGTTGTCTCTCTCTCTCTCTCTCTCTCTCTCTCTGTCTGTTTGTTATATTATATTTTATATTTTATATCTTATCCTTTATTCTGTTGAACATCTGTATATGTATGTCTATATAGTATTTCACTTTTCATATACCTGCTTGTTTCTTGGTGAGATGGATGGCTGGGGAAGGGAAGGAGACTTGTTTTGTAGTGTGGATGTCTGTGGATGTGATATTAGTCTTGAAATCTGGAGGGAAAGGATTGTATAACATTTGAAATGGGTTTCTACTTGGGTTTTTTGCCAATGATTAAGGATATCTATCCTTAGTACCGTAATAAGTTTGGTTCTTCTGATAACTCGTCTTTTGCTTTTAACACATTAATGGTATCTTTAGCTTTATTTAATTATTAAATTATTTAATTATTTGTAAATATATATTTATATATATAAGGGTATGCTTTCAATATATTTGGTATTGGATTGTTAGGAATACAATTTGAATTGGATCAACAGTATTTTATTATAACCTTTTTTTATTTTATTTTTTTCTTTTTGGTCCCTAATCTAAGTACCTTATCTCGTTGTTAAGCTCTGCATATAGGTAACACAAGTCAATTCTTATTCAGAGATTATAATTTAAATATGTCAGAGGAAATTCCAGAAAATGTCAGAGGTGCAATTGAATTCGACCCATGGTTGAAACCTTTCGCTCAAGTTATGTCCGAAAGAACTTACTTGGCAGATCAGTTTAAATATAACATTACACATGCTACTCCAGATGGTCAATTCCAATCATTATCAGATTTCGCAAGAAATTCTTATAAATCATATGGTTTACATGCTGACCCTTCAACTAAAGAAATCCGTTATAAGGAATGGGCCCCAAATGCTGAAAAGGCATTCTTGATTGGTGAATTCAATAATTGGAATGAAGCTTCTCACCAAATGAATGGTAAAGATGAGTTCGGTAATTTTACAATTACTGTTCCACCTTTAGAAAAAGGTGATTTTGCTATCCCACATGATTCTAAAATTAAAGTATGTTCATTTTACCAAGTGTGAAAGAATATATAGATGGCCTGCTTGGATTTCAAGAGCTACTCAACCAGATAAAGAAACTGTTAAAGGTTTATGGGCCAATTTATGAAGGTAGATTCTGGAATCCACCAAATCCTTTATAACTTCCAACATAGTAGACCAACTTTTAATGAGAAATCAGATTCTTTAAGAATTTACGAAGCTCATGTTGGTATTTCAAGTCCTGAACAAAAGGTTGCAACCTATAAGAACTTCACCGATAACGTTCTACCAAGAATTAGAGATTTAGGTTATAATGCTATTCAATTGATGGCTATTATGGAACATGCTTACTACGGTTCTTTTGGTTACCAAGTAACTAATTTCTTTGCAGCTTCCTCTCGTTATGGTACCCCTGAAGAATTAAAAGAATTAATTGACACTGCTCATTCCATGGGTATTTTAGTATTATTAGATGTCGTTCACAGTCATGCCTCTAAAAACGTCCAGGATGGTTTGAATGGATTCGATGGTTCAGATCATCAATATTTCCACTCGGCTGCCTCAGGTAGAGGTGAACATCCTCTATGGGATTCAAGATTATTTAACTACGGTAGTTTCGAAGTCCAAAGATTCCTATTAGCTAACTTGGCCTATTATATCGATGTTTATCAATTTGATGGGTTCAGATTTGATGGTGTCACTTCGATGCTTTACTTACATCATGGTGCTGGTGAACATGGTGGTTTCAGTGGTGATTACAATGAATACTTGTCAAAAGAAAGATCATTTGTCGATCATGAAGCCTTAGCTTATTTAATGTTGGCTAATGATTTGGTTCATGAATTATTGCCAGAATCTGCTGTCACTATCGCTGAAGATGTGTCTGGTTATCCAACTTTATCCTTACCACGTAATATGGGTGGTGCAGGTTTTGACTATAGATTAGCCATGGCTTTACCAGATATGTGGATTAAGCTATTAAAAGAAAAGAAAGATGATGATTGGAACATGGGTCACATTGTCTTTACATTAACAAATAGACGTCATGGTGAAAAGGTCGTTGCGTATGCCGAATCACATGATCAAGCTTTAGTTGGTGACAAGACATTGGCTTTCTGGTTGATGGATGCTGCAATGTATACCGACATGACCGTCTTGAAGGAACCATCTCCAGTTATTGACCGTGGTATTTCCTTACACAAAATGATTAGATTGATCACTCACTCATTGGGTGGTGAAGCTTATTTGAATTTTGAAGGTAACGAATTCGGTCACCCTGAATGGTTAGATTTCCCAAGAATTGAAAACAATGACAGTTACCATTATGCAAGAAGACAATTTAATTTGGTTGATGACCAATTACTACGTTATAAACATTTGTACAACTTTGACAAGGCTATGCAATCATGTGAAAGATCACATCAATGGTTGAATACTCATCAAGCGTACGTCTCCCTAAAACATGAAGTTGATAAAGTGATTGCATTTGAACGTAATGGCTTATTGTTCATCTTTAATTTCCATCCAACACAAAGTTTCAGTGATTATAGAATTGGTGTAGATCAACCTGGTACTTACCAAATCGTCTTAAACACTGATCGTGAAGAATTTGGCGGTCATAACAGAATTGATGAAAATACTGAATTCTTCACTACCGATTTGGAATGGAATAATAGAAGAAACTTTATTCAAGTTTATATCCCAAGCAGAGTCGCACTGGTTTGCGCTTTGAAAAAATAAGAAGTATTCTATATGAATTGATTTAAACTTACGAAATAAACCGGTGCAGTAGTGCAAATATATATATATGATATAGTTAATAAGAACGACATTTTTGTATATTAAATTGATAAAATGACAGTAATGCGATTGGTCTTACCAGACACCATCCCACTCCTTGTTGATTTAAATGGAATTAAAAGGTTGGTTCAATTTTCTAAATACAAATTGAAATGATAATCTGTAGTAGTGGAAATCCATAATGATTTTTTATTTTTCATATTGTTATTACTTTTTAAAAATGTATAATAGCCTACAGTTTTTTATTCCTCAGAAAGCAGAATATATAGCTTAATTGATGAAACTTGTGCATCAAATTACGGAATATTTAATTGTCAAAGTATATATAAATAGATGTAAAGTTTTCAAATGTATTAAAATTTTAGCCCTACCATAAAACAGTAAAGCTATAATATGGCTAACCTTCAAATGATTGAAAATAACTATTCCCTTCGGAAAAGTTAGTGAAAGTGGGAAATGTTATTAATAATTGTTTAACCTTACATCAGTATTTTTTGAGTTTGAGCTGCCACATTCTAATTCAATATTAGTAATTGTGACGGTTTTTTTTATTACCAATATGGAAACATCGGCAACGTATGTGTCAGCAATTTTAATTCTTAAAAGCACACAGATCAGTATGACGTTGTGTCAGAATTATGAGGTAACACGTGATATAAACGTATTACGACATTATTCATATAGGATAAAGAAATGTTACTTTACACGAAAGTATTACTGACGCTGAAAACTTTTCCAACACTGTATATAAGAAATGATGAGATCTTAATTGATACTTATCATATGTACTATATTCCCATGTGTATATTTTATACTTTAATACACTGGATCAATATCAACTTATTAAGAATGTCCTTGGAAATAAATAAAGAATCTATTACTATGAACGATTCGGTAGAAAAACCACAACATGATTCTCTACACGTTGATTTACAGAATGATAGAATATTAGATTGTGAACCAAGAAAACTCCAAACTTAGAGAAAAATGTGATTAATTCTGTAATATCGGTCTTATTTTGGTCCTATTATGTTATTACTTATATATATATCATGTTATCAGTGCCTATATATTATATTTATCTTGAATCTAAATCTTGTGACTAGATCTCTTGACTTGTTATCCTTGTTATTCGTCTTGCCTATAAATAACCAACTGATCTATATATTCTTCAACACGTATCTTATATGTCAGAAATTATGAGATGACGTAAAGTCATACTCATTAATTCAATATTAATAAGGGTGAAGAATTATATGAAACATCATTATTAATAAGGGATAAAGAAATGTTTATAATACGAAAGTATTTGCTTCTGACGTGTCAATAATATCTAAACATTGTATATAAAGTCTGGTAAGATCTTAATTGACACTTATCATATGTACTATATTCCCATGTGCATATTTTATACTTTAATACACGGGATCAATATCAACTTATTAAGAATGTCCTTGCAAACAACTAAACAATCTACTATTATTAACGATTCTGTAAAGAATCCACAACCCTCTGATTCTCTACATTATATGTAACATTTCTTAAAAATTCTAGTTCATACTGGAAGTTAAGTTATCCGCATAAAAATTTTGACACGTGGATAACATGTGCAAATCATGTCCTCCTTATGTTTTATTACCACTAAATAAAAACAAGAAAAACAAGCCTTGTTGGCGCAATCGGTAGCGCGTGTGACTCTTAATCACAAGGTTAGGGGTTCGAGCCCCCTACAGGGCTTTCTTTTTTGCTCTCCTTTTTTATATAATAAGTAGATTTCTTATAAAGGATTTGTTCGACAGACTGAAAGATAAAAGAGTAAAGAAGTTGGTTTACCTTTTAGCAAGTGCCCATTCAAAATACTAAATTCCACCTTCTAAAATATGTTTGATTAGATAAATAAAATTAAGATATATAATATTATAATTAATGTATTGTTCTATTATTTGTATTATTTAAATTTATGTTTTTTAGGAGATTGAGAGCTTTACAATTCACTAGCAAAAAACAATAAAAATATTTAAACATTATATAGTTGAAACGAGTAAATTCTTGCCAGAATAATAATTAATTTTTTGCAGTTTAGCTTGACATCAGACTATCTCTAGATATATTATGTAATAGATACATTACTATATATCACCCTGTATATATCATCTTTGAAATTCCTGGCCTATTTATATTAATTAGAATTATTTTGGTATGCCATTTATTTTATATATTGATGACGTTAATAATTGGACTAACGGGCCTTTGAATCAAAACCATCCATATTTTAACATTCTCTAAGTGTAACTGAATTTTTAGGTTATTTAATTGATTCTCAATCAGGTTAACTATAATAATTTTTTTGCTTGTTTTTCAAAGGATCGTAGAATTTATTCTGACCTATTAATGTTGCTGAGGATTGAAATGTTTCAACAGTCCGGGACCTCATCAAGATGACAGTAGAGCTAACTTAAAAAGTTAAAATCGAAGATGTTACCTGTTTAACAATAAACTAGATTATATTGACTTTGAATCTACTAAAGTTCGATAAAGAGTCAAAATGGACACCCCAAATACTGTTTAGAGTATTTAGGATTCACATCTCTGACTGTTGAGTTATATTTTTTATTGTACGATGCCTGTGACAGTTTATTTGGATACCAATGATTTAATAATTCTTATATGATCTAAATCATTTAAAAAATTAATTCAAGGATTTGAATATTAAAAGATTTAAGTTAATACAGTTAGAAGTATTATTTCTGTAATTGAAAGAACCCCACCAAATTTGATAGTTAGTAAAAATCACTGGTGTAAGAAAAGATAACTACTACTGTATAATTTCATGATAAATTCATCACATTTCAATTATAGTTAATTATAAATAAACATATAAACGATCAAATAAAATAAAATATAAATAATTTGGTGCCATATAGTAACATTCTTAAAAACAATTTTCTGGAAATTTTTTGAAAATCTACTGTTAAGCAAACTGAAGTTATAAAAGAATTAAGTTCAAAAACAAAATTATTATTAACACAACATTATTTTTTCATATCCCTTTTCAATTGTAACTGCAGTTCATTGCAAAATCCCAAAACGAATAAAAATTCGAATAATATGAAATAAGGTGCCAATACTAGACTTTGAACTAAATTGTCAAACAAAGCAGGTCTATTTCCTTCAAAGACACCATGACCCATGAACTGGAAAGCCCAACTAAGTAACCAAAGACCAATTTCAAATTTAAAATCGATTGAATTATTCTGAATGAAATAATTCATTACAAAAATCACTGTAGATGCTAATAAACCAACAAGACGATGCAATAAAAAATAATAAAATGCATAGGTAACCATTAATACATGGCCTAAAGTAATTCCTGTGCTGCCTAATTTAACTCTATTTAGCATCATACAACTGGTTACGAAAATAGTAGGAACAAAGAAAGAATGAATGGTAACATTAACAACATTTTGATGGTAACGTTTATAGAAACCCAGTTGTTTGCGTAAATTTAATAAATCTAACATTATTATAGTATTAATGAAGTATTCACTTTAATAAAATACCCTTATATCTATATAAATGGTAGGTTATGAAGAAAGAGAAGTAGCAGTAAAATTATTAAAGGTTAAAACTACTAGCAAATGGTTACTTCTGAATTCAGATATACACACATATATATATATATATATATATATTAGCCAATATTTTGTAATTAAGTAACTTAAACCTTATTTGTCCTTATATAGCTCGTTGTCCTATATATAAATACTTATGTTGATCTACTGTGCGAACTCGTATGGTTTAATAGATACCAAAGGTAATAGGAACCATCAAAGTAAGTTTCCCAGCATTACATATAGACATTACCTTTATTCTATAGCTTCTTTCAAGTAGTCATTATACAAGAGTTCAGAATACTATAAGTATATATAAAAGAATAGATGAATTGATCAAAATGTTTGGTGGTATGGTCTATAAGGGATTTTTTGTTAGTTTAATACGATCAAATTAAAGTCATCAATCCAGTAGTATCTACTCCAACCAAGAAAGAAAGATAACATGCTAATTGTTTTTTCATATTCTCCAACTAAATTACCAAATATATCGATATCAGTTCCCATTCAACCTTCTATTATACTTGATGGATGGTTGGATGGTTGGATGGTTGACTTAAAAAGGTTTCTTAGCTTCGTTGTTGTTATAGATAGCTATACCTAAAACACAAGTTAAGTCACGTGGCCGGACATATGATATAGAAACAACCCTTAATGCCGTTACTGGAGGTAAAGATATGTTGCTATTAGTGACCGTTATACCAATGTATGACACACATACACTTACACATATGAAATGATTGGATATATGGATATATCTTGCCATGAGACATTTGTATCCATATTTTTTTAAAAGTTAAAGGACCCAACGCAACTAATAAGTGGTTCATTTGGTACCAATTGATATTGATGTTGTTAGACGACATGCCAATGAGTTACCCTACGTTTAATGTTATTAACATGTCATGTGATCTACAAACCTGATAAATGGTAGGTCACATGACACAATGGATATTCAAACAAGGAAGGCTTTCTTCTTTTATTAATTTAAAAATGAAGATTTTGAAGGTTTTGCCACCTTTTTAAATAACGATGGTTATTAAAGAGTATCAGACTAAGGGTAGATCCAGCTATTATTAAGATACTGATAGAGGTGGATTCTGTGTGGATAGTAAGATTTTGCAGTTTTTTAGTCGTTTGATATTTAATTTTTGGTTCAATTGTCAATTATCAAGGTGAAGTTAGAATAACTACAAAGAACAAGTACACTGATTTTACTTTAAGAGAATTATAACTAATATTGATTATATAGTAGTCAATTTCTAAGTTCTCGTTAAGATTCATATCAAATTTCAAATTTAAATTCTAATATTTTAAAGTTATGTCTGGTGGTGGTGCTGCTGCATCCGCAGCTGGTTATGATAGACATATTACTATTTTCTCCCCAGAAGGTAGACTATATCAAGTAGAATATGCTTTTAAAGCTTGTAATCAAACTAATATAAACTCAATTGCCATTAGAGGTAACAATTGTAGTGTCATAATAAATCAAAAAAAAGTACCAGATAAATTATTAGATGCTGAAACTGTTTCATACATTTTCCAAATTTCAAGAACTATTGGTATGGTTGCAAATGGTCCAATTCCTGATGCTAGAAATGCTGCAATCAGATGTAAGGCAGAAGCTGCAGAATTTCGTTACAAGTATGGTTATGATATGCCTGTAGATGTATTGGCAAAAAGAATGGCCAACTTATCACAAATATATACCCAAAGAGCGTACATGAGACCATTAGGTGTTATATTAACATTCGTCTCCTTAGATGAAGAAAAGGGTCCTTCTATTTACAAATCTGATCCTTCAGGTTATTACGTTGGTTATAAAGCAACTGCTACTGGTCCAAAGCAACAGGAAATTTCCACCTCTTTAGAAAATTTCTTCAAGAAACAAAAAGGTGGTTTAAAAGATCGTTTAAATGAAGATTCTTGGGAAAAAGTGGTAGAATTTGGTATTACTCATTTAATTGATTCATTAGGTACAGACTTCACTAAAAAAGATCTAGAAGTAGGTGTAGCCATCAAGGACAAATTCTTTGTATTGACCATTGATGAAATCGAAGAAAGATTGATTGCCATCGCTGAACAAGATTAATGAAATAACAAAAAATAACAACATCCATAAATAATAAAATATCAATTCAAACTCATTTATATAATTATTTATATATTTTCTACATGTATACAAAATAGTATTTGTCATTTACTTTATTTGTCATTTTATTTAAATAATAAATTGTAGTTTAAAAGTAATGCTACTCTCTGATTATTACCCATTAATATGATATCTATTAAAAATTATTGTTATGTTCAGTTTATATTTACCCTTATTATTTAGTATTATTACAATTATGTTTATATAGTGATTTCATTCTGTTTGGTCCTGTGAATCTTGATTTACAATTCTTACATATCACAACTTTTCTAACATTCCCATCTTTATTCTGAGAATCACTTCTATATTGTTGTTGTTGAACATGTCTGTACTCATTACCTACTAATAAATCATATACTTCTAAAGCGTTTTCGCATTCTAGAGATTTATGGAAATAATGAGCAAAATCAATACTTGATAATGATTCTAATTGTTTTTTTGGCACATAACCTCCAAGAAGAGTATGAGATAAATCATAAGTAGCATTTGAAGCTTCTGAAAGATCAACTTTACCACCCAAATAACCATGAACAACCATTTTACCCTTTTCTTCGTCATTCTTTAAATTTTCTTCATTTTCATTTGACTGTAACTCATCGTCACCATCTTTGTCATTAATTGTAGTCAATTCTCTCAACTCTTCATTACTTAAAGTTACATCATTTGACTTTTCAAATGCTGATAAACCTGCAATAACATCATAATAATTTCTCTTCTGTACAGTTTCCATAATGTAAAAATGAAGAATTATAGTATGTTCCTATTTTAATCAATCAGAATGATATCCTTTCAAGAGACACGGCAAACTACTTCTGATAATCTGGTGTATGAAATATACCTTAGAACAAAGCAAACATTGAACAGTTAAAGTCTAGTGGTACTTAAGTTTTTCTTTTATATATCCATTTCTCACATTAAAGCTTTAATTTTTCATATTGAAAAATTATTTGATATCTTGATAACCTCCGAGTGTCAGCGAGTGATAGAATGATTGAATGAAGAACAATGATATATTTCATAAATATACAGTTGTTTAGTGGTATGTTAAAGGTAATATAAACGTTTGATATTGGGGTGAGGTATATATTTATAAATATCTCTATAAGATGTATGGAATAAACAAGTAAGGACAGTGCTTACAGTAAGTTTTCCAATCGTCACCGTACTTCTTCTTACATTTAGCTTGATCTCTAGTAGCTCTATGAATCAAGACAACAAAGAAGAAGACAGGGAAAAACCATGGTAAGTAGGAGTCGAAACCACATGCTAGAGCCCAGACTAGAGATTGAGTCCAATCAGCAGTGTAATGAATCTTTCTAGCCCATGTGTACCAACCATCGATTAATAATAATGAACCATTTTCGGTGACCATATACTTTGGATCCTTTAAGATCTGGTAAGGTAAGAATGGGAAAGTCTTTCTAATGGTCTTGTCACCAGCCATTTGCTTTCTGAATGCGTTCTTTTGAGCATTGGCGGTGTCGAAGAAATAGTAGGCGATTAACAAAGTGACATATAAGGCAATGTTGTATTGAATTGGCCATTGGTATTCGGTTGGGTTGTGGTAATGTAGGAACAGAGTACAGTGACAGTAAGTGTAAGGGACACCGGCAATATTCCAGAAGATTAACATGAAACCGAATTTTTCATAAGCCATATCCCAGGTTGGAACAATCAATTCTTCACCTTTAGCACAGGCGTTAGCGTATAACCAATGAGCCAACATGATCACACCTAATTGAGGGGTGATATAACCGTAAGTTTCATATTGTTTGAAACAAGCACTCAAAGAGATAAAATACAAAGTGAACCAAGGTAATCTGACTTCGAAGAACATCTTTAAGTCAATTAAACCAATACGTGGATTTAAAGGAGCTCCCATGAAGAAGTCATATAAATGGTTACCAGTCATACGGTGGTAATCGTGAGTAACAAATAAAGTCCATAAGTACAAAGCAATTGAGAATACGAAACCTGAAATGATAGCACAAGTCATAATTTCACCGAATAAATCGATAATTGTGTATAATTTGAAGATTCCTGTAACATGTAAAACGATAACAATTGTTGTTGAAACGTATAAAGACCACATGGCATTACAGTAGTAAGGTAATTGTTTGTTTTTCAAATGTGTTAAAGGTTGACCTTTTGTCCAAATACCTGGTAAAGTAACATAAAAGATACTTTGAACTAACCAAAATAATAGGAAGATGAACCAGGAGTAACTTGAAGGGATACCATGGTTCAAGAATAAATTATATAATTTTAGAATGAAATCCATGAATGATTCATTTGGTAAAGGTCTGAAGAATTTACCATTGTTAAATTCGGCAGATAACCACATGTAATACATTAACAATGGGAAACCAACTAGCATACCAATAACACCTGGTACCCCGCCGAATTCATATTCGATTTCTTCAGGTTTTAAATATTTACCTTGGGGTAAAAAGTTTTTAACGACTCTATTATTGTTGTTGCTGTTGTTGTTCTTCAGTTGAGAATCATCTTTATTCTGTTTTGACTTTGACTTTGTCTTTGATTTTGACTTTGATGACATTGTTAAATCCAAACTAGCAAATTGGATATGAACCTGGAGTCAATGGGGGCAATTGAAGTTTTTTTCGATGGCACTAAGTGATCAAGAGCACCAAGCAGTTATATACATGGTTGAATATAGAATTTAAACAAGGTCTATAAATAAAATAACAATTCGAAGTTGAAGTTGAAGTTGAAGTTGAAGTTGAAGTCGAAATCGAAATCGAATTTTGTTCAGATGATAATTTTTCAGTTACTGAGTTACGTACGGTTTGTCAGTAGTCGTACAAGTAACAGACAATCGAAAAAGGACAGTTTTTACGCGAATAAAAAATTTGTAAAAAAAACCTCGAAGAGATAAAATTTTGTCCCGTGTACGAGAGAGAGGGATAGATAGGAGAAGTAAATACGGGCAATATGTCACGTGAACAAGAGAGTGGGCTGAGATTAAAATTTAAATTAGGAAGATGGCAGGTGGCTGTGCACGTGATCAATATCTTAGATCCTTTCTTCTATCAAATCATCAATCAGGACTGTCTTCATGTCACTAAAAAGGTAATCGAACCACCTGAACCTCTCTCTCTATCCTTATATATGCATATACATATACATATACATATATACGTGGGTGGTGGGATATATTTATTTCTAGGCAAGAGGTATCAGGTGTTTGTTTGTATCGGGTGTTCCAGTTGGGTATCGATGATTGTAATTAAATCTATATCTGGTTTGCTTTAATTTTTTTTATTCAGTTACTAACCGGCGGCTCTGGGGTTAGAGAGAACAAGTACATTCAAGAGCAAAGATATGAAATGATCTCAATTGGACCAACGGTCCAACACCGAATCATGAGCTATGCATTAGCTATTTTAAATGTATGAGTAAAGTTACAGATTGTATCTTCCTTGTCCGCCCCATCCCATCCCATGCCACGGGTGCTTGTTAAGTAAAATTAAAAACAAAAGATCAACAATGTATGGAGTTTTTGGGGTCGTTATATTGTATATCGATGCGCCATCGAGGAACACAGACAAGTTTTAACTTAATTTAATTTATTTGGATATTTTTTTATCTCATTTCTCTTTGTATTGTTGTTGCTTTGCGCAGATTCATTTTGTCAGTGGTGGGATCAAGTATAGTTAGAATGTTAGCCATCGGAGTTAATAAGCAACATTAGCATTAGCATTAGCAATTGCAACAGTATGTGCTAGATTGGGATAGGTTAGGAGCATTAACGCTGTCCCAAAATAAGCAGATAAAAGAATAAAATTAAAAAGGTCCACCAATGTCATCCGTACCTTTGTACATTCCTAAATACGCCTGTTTGTGTGTTTGCCTGCTGTTGTTCTTCTTAGTTATTCTTAATATATGGTTGGTTTTCTTTTCCGCGGACCAACTACTATCACCACGGACGACAAGACATAAGACAACGACGTCACTCTTGCCCAGTTCTTCTCTCCCATCCCTCCAAGAGCCACATCTCATCTGTGTCCGTCCACGCACACACACGCACACAAATGGCTCCAATCCGGATCTGTCTGGGAATTCCTGTTGCTATCGCAGTACCCAAAAACTTGTCTTACTCTCTTTTCCCTCTCTCTCTCTGGCTCTCTCTGTCTCCACCATGAGCAACAAAAATTTTAACTGGTTAGACAGACAGACAGACAGACAATTTATTATTATTATTGTTATTATTATTCATTGCCAATATTATTATTAATAATGATAATGATGATAATGGAAATAATGGAAATGAATAATAGCAATAGCAATGGCAAAACTACTAACGATAAGAATGGTGCTAATTGCACCAATATCAATGCTCTTTCCCATCTGTCTCTTGTCTCGGTTGGAACAATTCGTATTTTTCGGCTTCTCTCTGTATGAGGACAGGTGAGATTCCGGGCAGGGGAGACAGACGACGGTGGCGTTATGATGGCCAAACCCGTCTTTTCTTACTGTGACTGCTTGGCGTAACTGCAAATTTCTAATATATCTCTCTATATATATATATAGATCATCATATATAAGCAACTGCAATTGCAACTGCAACTGCAACCACTCCTCTATCTCGTCGACATCGCATCCGATACTACCCTACCAAACCTATCGCTGTTGCGTTTTGGATCAGTGCCTAGTTGTCTCTTCTTATTACTATTGCTTTCATTACCTCTACTATATCAGCGGCTACTTTAGTGCGGTGCAGGGAGTTTACTTTTTCACATTCCAAAAAAGCAAAGAACAAATAAAGGCTTTCTATTACTTTTTATTTTCTTTTTTGCCCAGCCAATTTGTCGTTAGTCAAATAGATTATTTCTCTATACTCTGACACACTCCATCGACAGTGTTCCTATCCATCCTTTTCTCCTAATAGGCTAAACTAAACTATACTTATATACCATACCAGTGTTTGGCTAACTTACTACTTGTAGCCATTCTCTATAGCCTTCTCTGTCTCCATCTCTGCTTCCTCCCTCAACCCTCCGTCTGAGAAGGAACAAGAAGAAAAGAGAAACCACTGTCACTGAATACGGTAAATGGAAAAATTCCGAATTTAAGCTAAAGTTAATAATATCTCATCCATCCAGAATATCCAAAAGGTTTAATTATTAATTATTAATTATTAATTATAAGCTATCACCTATTCATAAAGTAATATCCAAACTATATTACACATACCAACATCTCATAGATCAATAAAATAAAATAAAAACAACATATACGTGCATTCTCATTATACAATAGTTTATTGTAATATTAAATCACACCATCATAGTCAAACCTTATTTACTAGAATAATAACAACATTATTATAGAAAAGAAAATTCTAGTATACTATATTTTTGATTAACTACTTTTCACCAATATTTATACCACACTACAACCTTTTATCGTACATTTTTTCCTTCTTTAGGAACATAAAATATTTAAAGGAAAATGGCAGGAAGTAACAGTAGCGGTAACAGCAGTACTAACGACAGTAACAATACTACTGGAACTTCAAATACAAATACAACTACTCAAAAAAAGACTAGATCAAAAGTAAGCAGAGCCTGTGAAGGTTGTAGAAGAAGGAAAATTAAATGCAGTGGTAATTGGCCTTGTTCAAGTTGTATCACTTATGACTGTGAATGTATTTTTACCAGTAGCGATTCAATAAATTCAAAGAAAAAAATTACTTCTTGTTCGTCACTCGAAATTTTAAATAAATCAAAAACTTTATCAGAGAACAATAACAATAATAACAATAATGATAATAATAATAATAATAATAACAATAATATAATAAATAATACTTCCCATAATATTAACAATAGAAGTGGATCTAACAGTTTAGATGTATCAAGAAGTGTAAGTGACACTAATTTAGACTCTCAATTAAAGAAAAGAAATTTAGATGAATTAATAAGTTGTGATAGCAAAGTTAAAAAACCAAATTCCCAAAGAATAGCAGATCATTCATTAGGTTTTTTTAAAGTTGTCAAAAGGAAAAATGTATGCCAACATACAGAATTAAATATTCCTGTAGATGAATTACCAGATTTTAAATTAAATAATAACGATGGTGGTTATTTCGAAGATGATTCCCTATTACAAAAAAAATTAATTAATTTACAAAATATTTTGAAAAATTTAAAGGAAATTAAAAACTTGAATAATAATGACTTAAGTACAAATGACCTAATTGAAAATGTAAATTCGCAAATTAATGAGATTTTAAATGACTGGACTCCAAAGATAAATTATAAGAAATTGAAAAACAATACAAATTTAAACCCACCGAAAAAGGATTCTAATATTCATTTACAACAAAGACAGAATTTAACATCTTCGGTAGAAACTCACCTAATGAAAAATAGATATACCAATAGAGTAAACCTAACAAAGTATTCGATTTGGTCAGATCAAAAGGAAAATAAAGCAAATTTATGCGCTTCTTTCTTATCCAAACAACCGTTAATTGAAGAATTATTTGGTTTATATTCTCCCTTCTTAGGTTTATCATTTAGAGGGATAGGTTCATTTTACCAACGTGAGATTAATAATAAATGTGAAGAATCTACTTTAATACAGATGAAGGAAAGTATATATATACTTTTAAGATTTTTCGATTTATGCATCGATCATATGACCCAAAGTTGCATTACAATCGGTAATCCGTTAGAAAATTATTTAACAAAATATAAATTATTGTCACCTTCATCAACAACAAATACTCCAGCTTCAAGTCCAATGCAATTCAATAATAAGGATAGCCTGACTTCAATTATAAAACTATTACCACAGCCATTTCTTTATAATTTGGCAGGAATAACAACTGATCAATTACTAATGAATGTAGACAATTATTTTTTCATGTTTTCATTAATTTTAAAAATATTCCAGACACATAAACAAAGTTACGAAATCCTAATGATAAGAGCTACCAATGGCGAGGATAAAATTTCAATGGATCAAAACCCAATAAAAGATATGGAAAATTTCTTATTTTACTCAAAACAAGAGGAGTTATTATTAGTACTATCATATAGTTACTATAACTCAACTTTATATCATTACGATGATTTCAAAAGCTTGGATTATTTGGAAATTCTATTATCACTTATAGATAAACAATTATGGCTAGATGAATACTATGCAGTTGAAAAAGTTCTAGAGGTAACAATAAACTATGCAATGAAAATGGGTTTATCAAGATGGGAGTTTTATGTAGGATTAAGTGAAAATGAAGCCGAAAGAAGACGTAGAGATTGGTGGAGGTTATACGCAATTGAAAAACTTGTATCTAGTGAAAGAGGTATGCAATCATCGATTGTAAATTCAAGATGTAATTGTTTATTAATCAAAGAATTTAGGGATGTCGGATTTATGGATATCAATGAATTCTTAGAAAATGTCCATTTATGCAATGACAATTCATATTTCAATACTCTACAAATCAATGCCTTGTTAGACTATTTTAATGTGGCTAGATCCATCATTATTGCAGACTTTTACGAAAACGTTTTATATCATGAAAGATACACCTCAATTAAAAATAATGCAAAACCAACCATGTTTAGAATAAAATTGACTACTGAAGTTTTTAATAAATTAAATACAGCTCTAATGAAGTTAGATGTTGTACAAAATCAAGCCAAGAGACTATTTAAGATTGCATTCAAAGAAACAAGCTCTGATGAATATGATTCATATTTAAGATATCAAGTTGTTTATTTCGTTTTTGCGTATTTTCAGACTATTTGTATTATATTACATGCATCAAGTAACTTATTAGCAAGATTAATAGTATTACCAGCTCCACATGAATTCAATCTAGAAATTGAAAAATTACATGATATTACATGCTTAGTTTGGTCAAAGATGAATAAATTATTGACTCTTATCGATGATGATTATACCGTTGCCCGTTGCTATAAATTATATGGTATTGGTTGTCTATTGATGTTTTCAAGAATATTTAAATCTAAGATTTCAATGGATCTTTCGGATACAGTTAATATTTTAAAAATTGTTAAAAGATTCCAAAATAGTTTTATTTATAATGATCTGAAAAATAATGAAGTTATTGCCAATAGTATTACCAATAGACACTTGAACTTATCATCCGCATTTGTTGCAGTGATCACTCATTTAAATATTGTTTTGATTATGAAGCAACAAAACCTGACAAAACAAAAACTAATTGAAAAAATTAATAAAATAAGCCCAGATGTATCTGAAGTCATCGAATCCTTACTGGATCCAAAATCTTATGTATTTGAATATATTATGAAGAACATTAACGAATCTGGATTCCATTTGAATGTCCGTAGGATGTTCTCTGATTTAAATGATGTGAGCAATGGAAGTAAAAAGAAATTTAATAATCCAAGAACAGCACATTTTCCAAAAAATTTGGTGGAATCACAAGAGGCTATATTCAGGTCTCATTCGCCGCAAAATTCTCAAGGACAAAATGTCAATTCATTAGATATGTTAACGTCTGTTTCTGAAAATGCTAATATTATGAATTATAACTCAGGATATGTTAATGCAGCTAATGATAATTCTGTCATTAATATGCCAAGACCGTCACTCCTTCCAAATAATTCTGTATTGCCATCTAATGATCTATTGAAACAGAATGGAGTGTTGCCCGATAAAGTGGCCATCACTAAAGATATTGCCTCTAACCCTTCCATTCAACAATTTCCTTTCCTTGTTGAAAACGATAATACAGGAAGTTATAATTTAGGTACACTTGATGAATTTGTTAATAATGGTGACCTAAATGACTTGTACAATACCCTGTGGAGAGATTTATATTCAGTCGAATATATATAAGGAAATTCCAAATCAAGAATAATGATTGTAGTAATAGAAGTAACTAATAATTATTAATGTAGTTTTTTTCTTTTTTTTAGATCGTTCTGATTTTAATGTAAATAATGATTAATATATAAATCTAGATACAATATACTGAAAAATTAAATGCAAAATTCACATTTTTAAATGAAATATTAACTAATGGTTTACTGTTTTAAATTAACTGTAAATCTATATGTTACAAAATTGTTGTATATATAAAATCTTTTAAGTTTCAAGCATCTCATCTGATAATTAGGAAACAGAAATGGAAAAAAAGATAATAAATGTGGGAAAACAAACTAGGTTTATGTCATGTTTAATTTGTTAATTATTCTTCTACCATGAGGAGTATTTCTGATAGGGCCAACTAATAATGGTGAAACAATATCCGATAATCTTTTGTACAATGAAGGGTTGGTGCTATGAGAAACGTCTAAAGCAGTTTGTAAAACATAATTACCGTAACTATCGTTCAATAGCATTTGAATTTCAGATTCATCATTATTTTTCAATAATTCTAAAATCAAAGGCTCTGACAAAGCTGGGGTTTTCAAAATTTTTTCGACAACATTAGAACCAAATTTATGTAAAGATAAGTCTTTGACTTTAGGTTTTAAGACTTCCACAATCTTGTATGAGTAGTCAAAGGCTTTTTCTTCTGATTCTTTAGTTATAACGTACTGGACTACGTAGTTACCAAATGGATCTATACTTAATTGATCTATATTGCTTAACAACATTTCACATAATCCACGACGTTGATCCTTATTACCATGGTCTAAACAACGTTGCAAAACACAACACCCGTGTCTTTGAGTAGCGATATCAACACAATCTTGAGAAGCAGCATCGAAAATGAATTGGAAATATGTTGGATCCAATTTTTGCAAACATTTTTGAACGACATGGTTACCATTTAAATCCTTGCTCAACTCTACAATGGATGGCTGTAATGAATCAACAACAAGTTGAGCTTCCTCTTCAGTACCGACACATTCAACTAACTTTTGTAAAGCTCTAGTACCGTGAGGATTTAATGCAATATCAACGAAATATGGGGCAGAAATTTGTGCTATTTCTAGTCTTTGTTCGACGGTTACTCTTTCTAACAATTTTTGAATTAAATAATTACCAAACGAATCAGTCATTAATTCAACAGTATGTTCTTTAGTTTCATTGAAGATAGCATTAGCTGCGTTTTCACCCATGACGTCCAATTGTTTTTGTAAGAAACGACAGCCATGCTGGTCCTTACATAGAGAGTAAATTTCCCCAATGAATTGATCTAAGGTAGCATTGGAATAAATTAAGGAATCTTCCATTTTACGTTGGTGATATCCGTTGTAGCCATTTCTGTTACCATTCTTGTTTCTTCCGTAAGAGTTCTTATTACCATTATGGAATTTATTGTTACGGTTCATCAAATGATGAGGATGGTGAACACCATGAGGGTGTGGGACCATATGACCAAATGGAGGATTACCATACATCCATGGAGGAGGAGTACTGCTGTTTTGTTTCGAAACTAATTTATCATCATTTTCATCATTTGTTGCCTTTGGTTCAACACTTGGATCATTCAATTGATGAGGATTTTGAGGGAATTGCATTTGATGATGGTGCATTGGGATAGGAGAATGAGGATGAACAATTGGTGAGAAGGATTGGAAAGGAGAAGTAAACCCATAAGCGCCAGGAAATGGTGAAGGGATCGGAGTATGATGACCAGAAATAACAGAATTTGGTTGCATCAACGGACCACCGTATGGATAAGCTGCAGCAGGGAATGGATTGGAACTATTTGGTTGACCATTCTTTGTATCTTGTCCCTCGACAGTTTCGACAGTACCAGTTGTTCCTGCGACGGCTTGAGCAGCTGTGGTAGCAGCAAATTCATTATCCAAAGAAATGGATTGAGTTCTGGTTTGTATTTCTTCAGGATTTCCAGTTGCAGTGATGTTTTCAGTTGTGCCTGAGATGGCAATTAAATCATTTTGTGAAATAGCATGGAAAGTTTGTCTTCTGAAAGAAGATACATTTTTTTCGGTGTCATCAGTGGCAGCTACATCAGCAGCAGCAGGATTTTGAGCTAGACCAGTATCTTGCCATAACGGATCTCCCACGTTATTTGGTGAATTAACACCAGGGAAACCATGTGGAGGAGGCATTGGCATCATTTGTGAGTAAGGAACGAAATTCATACCCATGACTTGGTGATGATGAGGAGGAGGAAACATATGCAAACCATTTTGAGGTAATGGATTGAATGGAGGAGATTGAGAGATGCCATTAGCTACATCGGATGAGATATTAGCATTGGTAGATTTGATGATACCTACATCTGATCTTGGACCATTATTATTTGCATGGTTACGCCCGGAGTTAGTGTTAGATACAGTAGTTGGATTAGTATCTGTGGTATCTAAATCATCGTCATCTAAATGTAGCTCATTCAAAGCGGAATTGATGACTTGTGGATCAACAGGAGGTAAAGAAGAGGTTTTTTCTTTTGATTCCAACGACATGTCTTAAAAGAGGATATAAGTTGTTGTTGTTGTTGTTTTTGATTGATTTCTTATTCGACTAAATTAAAACGATCCTAAATATAAAACAAATAAAAAAACACAGAAGGATAAAATAAAATCTATAATTGAAGAAAGGTAATATACAATAATTGAATGAAATTAAAATAAAATGATTAAAATATGGTACAGTTAGAGATTAAGATTAAACAATAATTTAATATACAGACTAATGTACAGTGAGGGGGGAAGGGTAAAGGGTTAAAAGAAGAAGAGAAAGAAAAAAAAAGATAATGTTTAATTGAAACTCAACGACACTTTAATGAATAATAAGCAAACACTTTAATGATATGATTTATCTATCTATCTATTTAATTATTCTTATTTTATTTTTTTTTTTGGTCCAAAAATGTAATAAAAAAAAATAAAAATTCTTGTAATTATATTACTTTCTTCTCTTTAGTGTTTCTAGATACCAACCAAGATAAACAGAGAATGAATAAATTTAGAGCGTATAATGTATATGAAGAATGATGAGAACCTTATATCCCAAACTTAATCTGATCAATATCAAAACAAATCAAGCTTCGAAAGCCTAATTTGATTACATTTTTTGACGTTAGGACTTCAGACTGTTGGGATTTCTCTTTTGATTTCGATTTCGATTTCGATGTTGATTTCGAAATTTCGAATCGAAGGCTCTTCGACTTTTTTTTCGAATTTTTTTTTTTCGAGTTTTTTTTTTCCACAAAGAAGGAAAAAGAAACAAAAAGAACCGAAATTGGGATTTAGTCACGTGGTGTAATTGGTCATGTGTGCCATTTTTCATATTATATATGTGAGTGTGCCACTTTGATTTTGGGTTTTGCATAAAGAGGTAAGAACACAGCTTCACGTACAGTACATGATTGAATACATATTTAAACTACCCGAAACGAAATGAATATAAATACAGGAACGTTTACAGTCTCATTCTATCTCTAATATGCATTCACTTCGGTTGTCGCCATCAACTACAAATAAAGATGGTGACTCGATATATGTCTTTTGATCTTGTGTATTTATATATATATATATGTGGGTGTGTATGTAATGTAACACAAGGGGTAGAGTGATGATATAAATGTTCTTAAATACCTCATAAAAATACACTTGTAGGGTATATATGTACGTAAGTAGGTATGCATGTTGTTGATTAGCCGCCAAGCCTAGTCTGCCCAAGCCATGACAAATTCTCTCATAAATTGTGCCATCAATTGGACAAAAGTGGGATGATACTTATCCGAACCCACACCATTCCAAAGTGAAAAGCTTAACTTCGACCTCATTGTCACTGCCATTGTTGGAGATGCATCCCGATATGACTTGGCTTTTTTTCACTACTGTTCCAAGCCTTGCTGTTGAAATGAGACTGAGAAGGTCTAGTTTGTCCTTATGGTAATCTATAGGTGTATGGATAAGATACTGTGAATGGTACTTCAATGGATCGCCTGGGTATCCCACGTATCTACAGCCAAACCTGGAACCTGGGAGTACGGAAATATGTTCAGATAAAAGTTTCTTATAGAGTGGGAAAGTGAAACGTGTTTTATCTTGATGATATTGTAACCACTCATTTATTAGGATATCATCTGATGAATTATTTTCGTTATTGGGGTTTGTATCGTTAGTGACTATGAAACCTATATTGTCGTCATTGCCATTGGCATTGGGATTGTCGTTGAGGGTGGAGTTTGAGAGTAGATTTATAGTATTATCGTTAGATTGGTTAAAAATTTTAAGGTTGACTGAATGTAGTTTGACAAGGTAGATAGATTGATCAAGTGAAATTTTCAAAGGTAGATAGAGGAAATTATTTTGTTGGGTGTTGATTGGTAATGTACCGGATAGATTTCCGTAGATGTTAAATTTCTCACGTAAAGTGATTAAATCAGCCACATTGAAGACACATGGATCACTATAAGTGCCATTGTCGAATTTAGTTATATAGATTGTGACCATGGGTTGGGGATATGACGAAATAGTCTTGAATGGAGAGTGTATGGCACTAGCACGAATACGAGTACGAATACAAAAAAGTAATAGTAACTGTAACTGTAACTGTAACTGTAAGACAAAAGGTAACACAAACAATAAACAATCGAATTTAAATGATGAATTTAAATGAGGAAAACCCAGGTGGAAAGCGATGAATCGATGGTGATGAGAGTTGCAATGTTTTGATATTTGGGTATACTTCTGGAGTGGAGTGGAGTGGTCTGGTCTGGTCTGGTCTGGTCTGGCGTGGGTTTGTTATTTAATTAATTGGCGAATGTAGAGGTGAGCCAGTATAAGTTCCTAATCTTGTGTTGAATGAAGCAAATGAGAGAGAGAGAGTGTGTGTGTGTGTATGTTTTCAATTTTCCATTCCTTACCTTATCTTACCTTACCTTTCTCATCTCGGCACTGCTAGCCAAAAACGAAAACTTTCTTGTTTGTGCTCTACAACGATGAGAGTTACGAGGACGAGGACGAGATAAGAGAGCCATTCCGATTGAGGAAATGTAATGTGAAAAAAACGAACTGAACTGAACTGAACTGAACTGAACCAAAATTGTATGCCATAACATAACATAACATAGCTAACTTTGGTTGTTTGGCCAAGAGAAAAAGAAAAAGAAGAAGATAACGACAGCAAGGACAAAAACAACACAGCCCAGTTCAGCTCAGCTCAGACCGGTGAAGGCCCCCTTTTTTTCTTTAATTGCCCAGTGCGAGCGTCGGAGAGAATACGCAAAGCGAGTTTCGAGAAATTCTGTCGTTGCAGCTCGCTGCCTCCGTCTCTCAGAGCAAGGACAACGCACATTTGTCTCTCCCGACAACCCGGCAAACGCAGCCAGAGAACAACAGAACAGCCCGTGCACAGCTAAGCCTCTTTAGGTCCCCTCGTCTTTTCTTTTTCTTTTTCTTTTCGTCATGATCCTTTCCTTGTGTCTCTCCCACACACACACTCACACAGGCGGACGTAAGTAATAAGCACTCTCTCTCGATCTGACCTACGCCAACTGAGCCAAGTATTATTTACTGTTTACTGTTCACTGTTTACTCTTACTGTTGTCTTATTACAAGTTTTAATTTCCTCATGACTTTAACAGAAAACTGATCCCAAACCGACTTTTTCATTATTACTTACCATAGAATGAATTAATTGACTTATATCATACCAGGCTATACCATCACTATATTACACTATATTACTCTATATCATACCATATCAGACTATACTAGGATGGGCTAAACTGTAACCGTCTTAGCGAACAATTGCTTACCATATTGCCCTTGGGCCTCTCTCGCTCCATTTTTCCCAAGACTTCTCTTCTCTTCTCTTCTCTTCTCCTCCCTCCACTTCTCTGGATCAATTTTCAGGTTCTTGCCTTAACCAGAAATTTCGTCTTTCGGCCTCATTGTAGCTTTCCTTCAACTCCTACTCTTATACCCAAAAAAATAAAAAACAAAAAAAAAACGTTTAACCTCTATCGAACTAACACCCATTTTAGAACTACTCTACTCTACTCTACTCTTGACTTAAATTACATTTCCCAATCAATTCATTCATTCCATTATTAATCAATCGATTAATTAATAAATAAAATAATTTTACTCTTTATAAGTAGATGCTTTTTTCACCTCCTGTGTCTTTTTCCAATTATTTAAAAAGTACCTGTATATTTATATATTCATACACTCACTAACACAAACCCACACACTCACAACCCCACTCAACTCAACTCCTATATAAAAGATATTATTTGGAATTAAACCAAAAACGAAAAGTTGTATATTTTAAAATTAATCATTTAATTAAACCTTACTCATCTCTCTCTCTTTCTTCCCCCCCTCCTCCCTCATTCCGGTATGAATAATGATGATGATGACCTCGGTTTAGTACCTGACAAAGTACAACTCTCTACTCTACACGACCCAAAATCCATTGCTCAATACTTGCAAATATTCCATTCATATGACCCGAACGTTCTATACCAAAATTTACAAACTGACCCTATCAACGGCATAGATTCATCTCAACTGCACACAAGAAAACTCAAATATGGTGATAACAAGTTACCGGAACACGTCTCAAAAACCTTCATGCAACTGATCTTAGAGGCTCTCAACGACAAAACTATGATCCTACTGTCCATCGCAGCTATAGTATCCTTTCTACTAGGTCTCTACGAAGTCTTTTGCCAACCAACGCAATACGATCCAGAAGGTCATATAATTAAAAATGTAGATTGGATTGAAGGTATTGCAATCATGTTGGCAGTCGTAGTAGTAGTAGTCGTCTCCGCTGCTAACGACTACCAAAAGGAAAAACAGTTCTCAAAACTATCACAGAAAAAGGAAAACGATAAAACTTTCACAGTCATTAGAGATACCGCTACCGTTTCTTTGATCCCAAACTCACAACTGGTAGTAGGGGACATCATCAAATTGCAAACTGGAGATATCCTCCCAGCAGACTGTATCCTGGTTAGTGGTTGCTGCGATGTAGACGAATCTTCCGTCACTGGGGAATCAGACACCATCAAGAAAAGACCATTGACTGAATCACTATCATACTATAAAGACATTAAAAATAATGCTTCAAGTTCCGCAAGCGACTTCGTCGTAGATATTCCAAATGACAAAAACGTCCCGGACTGTATGCTAATATCAGGATCGAAAGTAATTGCTGGTCTCGGTAAAGCTGTCGTCACTGCAGTAGGTATATCCTCTGTCCATGGAAGAACCATGAACGCATTGATTCATGGCGACCGAGTACCTGATGAAGATGCTGAGTTGAATACAGATGATTTTGCCCTCGAAAACTCAGGAATGACTCCTATGCAAGAAAGATTGAGTAATTTGGCAGATATTATCTCAGTGTATGGCTGTTTGGCTGCTACTTTGCTATTCGTTATTCTGTTTGCAAAATACTTATATAATATATTGTCTCCTAACGGGAGATTTAAAGATCTGCCGCCAGCTGAAAGAGGTAACAAATTTTTAAATATTTTCATCACTTCGGTAACCATAATCGTCGTTGCTGTCCCTGAAGGTTTGCCATTGGCTGTCACCTTAGCTTTGGCCTTTGCAACAACAAAAATGACTAAAGATGGGAACCTGGTTAGAATATTAAAGGCGTGTGAGACTATGGGCTCGGCAACTGCAATTTGCTCGGATAAGACAGGTACTTTGACCAGAAATTCAATGACCGTAACAAAGGTACTCATTGGTGGTAAGACCAGCGATAACTTAAATGAAATTCAAAAAGAATTGGGGAAAGATATTCTTATCAATATTGCTCTAAATTCAACAGCCTTTGAAAATAAAAATTATAAGAAGCCACCAAGTTCAAGCAATCCTTTCGATTCAGAGGGTTCAAATTCAAACGAAGTTGATACAATCGAAACCTATAACTCGAGAGAACCTTACATCGGTTCAAAAACTGAAATTGCATTGTTAAGTTTTGCAAATTTGAATTTAGATTTGAAAAGACTTGGCGAACTGCAAAAAGTTCGTAACGAACCTAATTCCAAGTTTCCAACAATTGAAAAAATCGTTCAAATTATTCCATTTGAAAGCTCACGTAAATGGTCGGGTCTAGTTGTTAAATTGAAAGATACTGGAACTTATAGATTATATGTTAAAGGTGCTGCAGAAATTATTTTCAAAAAATGTTCCTACAGAAGAGGAACTGATGGTTCATTGCAAGAATTAGATGAAAATGTAATTAATAATATTCAAAATCACATAAAGGATTTCGCTGAAAATGCTTTGAGAGCAATTTCGTTAGCTCATAAAGATTTGCTAGATTATAAAACTTGGCCACCGGCAGAACTTATGGATAAAGATAAGAAAGATAATGACTGCGCTTCGCCAGATATTTTATTCAATTCATTACTTTCTTCCAGTGATAGTACCAAATTCGATGAAACCGGATTAGTTATAGATGGTATTTTTGGAATTCAAGACCCTTTACGTCCCGGTGTCGATGAGTCAGTAAAGCAATGCCAAGAATCAGGTGTCACAGTCAGAATGGTTACTGGTGATAATTTATTAACAGCAAAGGCGATAGCTAGAAACTGTCATATTTTAACTCTTGAAGATAATTACGATCCACATTGTGCTATGGAAGGGCCAGAATTTAGAAAATTGACAAAAGAAGAAAGAGTTGAAATCTTACCAAAATTAAGAGTCCTTGCAAGATCTTCCCCTGAAGATAAGAGATTGCTAGTAGGTACTTTGAAATCTATGGGAGATATTGTTGCAGTCACAGGTGATGGTACTAACGATGCCCCAGCTTTGAAGTTAGCTGATGTAGGCTTTTCAATGGGTATTTCAGGTACTGAAGTTGCACGTGAAGCGTCTGATATTATTCTTATGACAGATGATTTTTCTTCTATTGTAAACGCAATTAAATGGGGTAGATGTGTTTCTACCTCAATCAAAAAATTCATCCAATTCCAATTGACTGTTAATATTACAGCAGTTTTTCTAACGTTTGTTTCAGCTATATTATCAGAGGATGAATCGTCAGTATTGACTGCCGTACAATTGTTATGGGTTAATTTAATTATGGATACCTTAGCAGCATTAGCCTTAGCAACTGATAAACCTGATAAAGATATTTTAAAGAAGAAGCCAAAGGGACGTTCTGAGCCACTTATATCATTCTCTACCTGGAAAATGATTTTAGCACAAGCAGCTTTGCAATTAACTATTACTTTTATTTTAAAATTCTATGGGGCTAATATTTTCTTTGGTGGAAAGGATGAACTTTCAGGAAAGGAACAGCAGCAGCTGAACGCAATGATATTCAATACTTTTGTTTGGTTGCAGTTTTTTACTATGATCGTATCCAGGAAACTTGATGAAGCAGATGGTATTACAGGTTGGAAGGAAAGATGTACACAAAACAATTTGAATTTCTTCCAAGATTTGTTTAGAAACTACTATTTTATTGCCATAATGACATTGATCGGTGTCCTCCAAATTTTAATCATGTTTTATGGTGGTATTGCATTTTCAATTGAAAGACAAACTAGAGAAATGTGGATAGTTGCTATATTATGTGGTATGCTTTCCTTGCCAGTAGGTGTTATTGTCAGAATCATACCTGATGATGTAGTAAGAGCATTGATACCAGCATCGCTATTTGCAAAATTCAAATACATATTATATCTGGAATTCCTACCAAACTGGGACAACAAACCTAAGGAAGAAGATGAGGAATCCTTGTTAGAGCAGGCTTCTAACGTGTCAACTAGGGAATGAGATGTATAAGGATTAACTGCAATCGATGTATTAATATTTTTTTCTCAAATATTGAATTAATAGTGAAAATGATATCGTTTCCTATTTTGCCATCATTACTTGTATTATATATTTTTATTTAACTTCATACCTTAATAATGTTATTTAATAATTTGTGCATAGTATCTACTTAGACAAAACAATTTTATTCTTTTATTAAAATTCGTCTTCTATATCTTTTGTACTTAAATATATATCTGCCTTCTTCTTTATATTATCTGCAAATTCCATATACACCGGATAGAAATTGTCTAATCCTTTAAAGACAGGTTTTAACTCAATGAAATGGTCTATCTTATTTAACAATTCTGTATTACGTTCGTTGCGTTTTTCTGTTTTAGAAGAGCCGTGTAAGGATTCATCAATTGTTTCTTCCAAAGTTTTTAATGAAACTTTAAAATCTGCTAATGTTATTACATCGTTAATATTATCATTTACAGAAGTTTTTGAACTGTAAGATATTTCAAATATCGATCTCAATTCTTCAAAACACTGTGTAACTCTTCCCAATCTGCCTTTAACCATTACTAAATTTTCCAATTGTTCAATAACGTTATCATCACCTTGATATTTAATATCCAATTCTTTTAGTCTTGAATCGATTTTAGACATATCTGCCTCTAGCCCTCTCACAGCACTCCTCAGAGTGTCAATGTAATACTCTAATTTTGATGATCCAACTAGTTCGTCATTATTAGCTATCATAGCACTATTGCTACTAGTATTGCTTGGATTTGATGCTGACCATGTAATTGGAATTGTGCCAGACAATTTCTCTAAATTACCAATTGATGATTTCAATTCACTAGTTAAATGTTTAGTATAATAATCTAATCTTGTTAACAGTGAAGATGTTACCAATTGTACTTGACTTATATCCTTTGAACCTGCTGCTGATAACAATATATCTACATAGGCTTGAGGTACGAAATCGTTATCAAAAAACATTTCAAGGATATTGTCATTTTGGGATATACTATCACTGATTTCGTTAGACATCGTCTTACAGGATTATTCAGGTTTCCTCAATTATTCATTAATACTATATCAACTTTATCAAGCTAGATTAAATTGAAATAGTTCAACTTTTATCTCGTTTTTCTTTTTATATTTTTTTAAGAATGTCGATTTGATATTTGAAAAGATAGATATTAAACTAAATCAGATATCAACAACTTTAGATCTGATCTGTATTGTGCCATTCAATTGGTAATTGTCATTATCTTTATGTTTTAAGAACAAGATCAAAAGAAGGATATAATCCGTTTTTACCTTAAGATACATATTACGATGATGATAATTTGGAATCAAATACTTTCCCTTAACAAGTTCAGGAAAACCCTCTTATCTAAAGAGGTAGTCAACACTTCAATCATATACAGACCAATATATTTGCTGGTCCCTTTGTAATTATTAAATAATTGCTGTAATCTATATTTCTCTTGTCATAATCCCCTCTAAGGTGTAAGTTTGTCATTTATCATTCTACATTTGTAGATTCAATAAGACCAAGAATGTTTGTTTCCAGCTATGTTAAAATTTACATCAACTCTTTAGGAAGTACAGGTTCACCGTAAATTATATTATATCATGATGGATTTATAGTTTAATGATAATGTGATCATCGGATAAGGCTGTTTAAATGGTTTTTTTTGATTAATCTAACTCTTCCTTTGATATTAGCCTGATAACAGAACCTTTCTGGTGAATAGCTCGTTATAACCTTCTAGAAACTCATGTGTCTGTAATAGTAAACTGTTAGAACTGGTTTGAAAATATAAAAAAATGGAGTGATATTATAAATTTATAAAGGATACATTTCAATTTATCAATTAAATATATTTCCATGATGGTCTAAATAATTTGATAAGTTTTGAAATGGGGGAGGGAATTTGAGGTTGTTGGAACATCATCAACAACAGCATCAGTATGTCAGGAAGAAAAAAAATTACCAGGAGAAGAAAGATTAGGTCATGTCACTACTGTTATTCACATAAATTAAAATGTGACAAAAAGGAACCTTGTTCAAGTTGCTTGGCAATTGGTGATACGACTGAATGTATTTATGGATTCAGTAAAGAAAGTGAAGATAGTAACAATGATATTGATAATGAATTAGGTGAACAGTCCCGAAATAATCAAGTTAGAAAATGTCAGAAATTGAATAAAAATAGTAATACTGCAGTTTTGTTTAAATCAAAATACTTTTACCCATTTTTTGCTAGTTCTATCAATGATAAAATATTATTGGCAGAATCATATGGTCAATTCTCTTTAACAAATAATTTCACAAGAAATCCAATTCATAATTTTAATCGTTATTCAAATAAACATATTGATATTGATGGAGTACTACAACTCTTACCATCTTCTAAGCAATTAACTATAAATGAATTGTCTTTATATATGAAAAACGTTCATCCTATTATACCAATTATAGATCAAAATATCGTATTAGATATGATTGATGATATCTACAATAGTGTCAATAATGATAGAGAGGTAAGTGCACTTTATTTAATTCTAATAATGGCAATATTATTTTGTATATCATATGCAAATGTTGCCTCAGGGGCTACTAAAAATTTATATCTGTGTGACAGTTACTATTCTGCTTATAAATATCTTTTAGATGAAGCAGAATTCCCATTTAAGCAGTATTCAGAGAGTTTACAAGCTTATCTTCTTGTAAACTTTATTATTGATCCAAACATGGTCCAGGCACCTGGTTATTCTTCAATGTTAGTACGAATTGGCCAACAACTTGGATTACACACCATGAATTTGGATGTTCCAATGGACACTTATCATTTAAAGCTATTATGGAATTTTATCTTGTATGTTGAAGGGTCGTCCTCTGTAGTATGTGGTCTTCCATTTTCAGCATCTAAATTATTATTAAATGCGGTACCATTATATGATACTGATGTCAGGAAATCAGATTACTCATTTCCTGTAGAATTTACATTGGGCAGAATCAAAATAAATAAATTATTCTATGATGTTATGGAGTTAAGCCAAAGAAAGGATATTATTAAACCTGAGTATTTAATATTAGAAAAAAATATTGATAGACTTTATGATGAAATTAATAATTTAAATGTTAGTATTAAAGTACGTCAGCCAGATTATGCAGATTATTTTATTAGTACGTTGAATGTATTCATGTATAGATTACATTTACGTCACTCTGCTCTTATATGCTTACAAGATGAAAAGGATAAAATGGTAAATAAATTAAGTCGGGAATTGACACCAGTGCAATCAAGTGAAATCTTAAATATATTCGATACAGCTGTTACATTTCAAGATGATATTATTCCAATTTCAATATTATTATTATTGCAGACATATAAAAGATTGATACAAAATAACGTAAAATCGTTCTTATGGTATACTAAGGGTTCAACAGTAATGCAATATTTATTTATAGTAATGAAAGATATATATCAAAGTCCTGATAAGAGTTTCCATCTTGAAACCTTCCCAATATCAGCTAGAAAACTTATTGGTGATGATATTAAAGAAGTTATTCGAGTCAATCCAGTCTTATTTAAATATGTCCTTGTTGAGAGTTTGATAAAATTGTTAGAGAGAAAGCTTGCGTCACTTTGGAATAATCAAGACTTATACAATTTTTTTGTAATAAAAACTGTTAAAGAAACTTTATGGACTGAACGTGAATCATTCTTGAATGCTAATAAGTCAGAAATGTGTCGACTGATGGGAGTGACTCTTTTCTCGGTAGGACATTCACATTTATATGATTTAGCCTCTATAGATTTTACAGAATTGCTGAAACAATGGCAAAGTGGGAATAATGTGGTTCAAATGGAAAAAGTTCTAACGAATTGGCTAGGAGATTTTGCAAACTTTTAGGGAAGAAACTATTTATTCGAGGAATTGAATTTTTCTATCATTATGTAACATTAGTAAGGGATTATATAAATTATAGATTGTACTTATTTTTAAATTCTTATCGTATTTGATTAAAGGCACCAAATATTAACGATTCAGGTTGAGCTTTTGGTTTGGGTTTTTCAAATAATTTCCAATATCTCAACGTCTCATCACCGGCTCCTGACACTACTGTTGTACCATCAGCAGACAATGTTAAGTGCAGAACTCTGAAGCTATGACCTTTTAATATTGCAATTGGTTCTAATGTTGGATAATTCCATAACGTTAAATTGTATTTAGAATAACCATGAGAAGTTACAATTTCATCTGTATTTTTAGACCAAATCAAATTACAAACCTGTGATCCTGTGTCAGCGTCGTTTAGTTTCATTGCAGTATTTACATTCCATATCTTTAATCTTCTATCAGCAGTACCACCACCAGTTGCTAATATGCCTCGTTTGTGTGGCGACCATCCTATAGCCTTTACAGCGGCGGTATGTTCTCTAAATGTTAAAGTTGGTGTTACAGATGTACCATCATAAACGCAAACAATATTGTCATTACCACCAGAGGCCAACTTATTTTCCTCAACATTCCATTTCAATCCACAAACTTCTTGGGTATGTGTTTCGATTTGTGCAAAAAATGGGTCGGCGATTCTAACATCTCTATGTAAAATTCTTCTATCCCTGCTACCAGAACTTAAAATATTATTGTTCCATGACAAGCATGAAACTCTGTCTGTATGACCTGAAAGTGTTCTTATACATTTTTTTTTAACTACATCATAAATTTCCATTAAACCATTACCTTGACCTACAGCTAGATGGGAGCCAGCCCCTACCCAACTCAAACTTGTATATTCATCTTTAGTGTCGCAAAGGTGAATAACATCGCCATTGCTATTATCAGTAAGAAAGATTGACTTCCCAAGAGCTACTGCCAACATATCAGTAGATGACCAATCTATTAAATCATAATAGAAATCATCAGCTAAAGAAGGAGCGTCCAGCACTCTGTAAGGCACTTTAGCAATTTGTCTAAACTTTTTGGCAGGGGATAGTAATAATTGTCTTGAATCTGGTCGTACTGGTGAAGATGAATAAAATTGTGATTGTAGTATCGATGTTGTTGAAGGTCTAGTTGACGTACGTTCTCTGTAAGTTAATAAACTTGCACCTCTGACGGAATTTGACGTAGGTTTATAATGTTCATCAATCTGTTTCGCAAAAAGTCGCCTTGGAGTCACTGGTGAACCGGTAGGTAATGAATCGCTACGATGTAGGCTATCTGGAGGAGTATTCGGTACATGTGGGAGATCTATTGGATTACCGTTTAAGTCAAGATTTCCATCCTGATCTTCATCTACATCGGTTTCAATTTCGTCACTGCTACTATTTTCCTTCTTATAACGGGAATGAGATAAAGTTGGTTTAGTGTTTTTAATTTTATCAATGCTACTTTCAGTTCCAGTTATGTCCCTGGATAGTTTTTCACCAAATAATTCATTTTTTAAAACTGCATCAAAGGTCTCATGGGCCAAACGTTTTTTCTGTATCTCTACCTGATCCTCACTATTTGACGGATCATCAGGAATTATCTTCACCGTATTACTTAAAGAAACAATAGTATTTAAATCGATTTCTGTTCTGGTAGGGATAAACCTATCATTGTAAATAACTGAACCTGAATTCCTCTGTCTTCTAAAGGGAGAAGTAAGTTGAGAAGAAGAGTTAGAGGCATTCAATAAAGGTCGTTTGCCGATCCTCTTATTACTACCATCATAGTTCTTCAAAGGTGAAGTATTGGGAGTATTGTTCATAAATGGATTACTCGAAGACATCTTTAAAAGCCCACCAATGAATGTATTTCAAACACTAAAGAGAGGAGAAGAGCAAAAAAAAAAACGAACAATCTATTAAATAATATCTATTATATTTCTAAACAAATGCAATAATCTGTATCTATCGAATGCAGGCTACACCAAATTATATGTGTAAAGGGTAATCGTATTCTATAATGTTTATTTATAAATTTCCTTGTCCTTGCCTAGTATAACAACAACTTTGTAGTAAATTTGGAAATACAAAACAGATTTCGTCCCTGGAAAAACAATAACCAAACTAAAAAATAACAATGTATTGTGAATCTTGGTGTACTAACCCATAAAACAACCTTGTATCCATCTAAAGTTGTCTTGATCTTACTAGTTAAGTTACTGTTTTATAACCTTCTTTTGACCATGAAGGAAAAAAAAAACTGTGCAACTTTTCACACTGAAAAATGTCAAATCCGGGTAAACTCATCTCGAGTAAAATGAAGTTCCTGACTTGACCACCAATCCCCCATCTATAATGGTGGATTGAACCTACTTTTACATGAAGTCTCCAAATTAATCCTTTTTTGCCTTGCATAGTTGATGTTGTGACTATTATTCGTATTCTTTAGCTGGTTTGGAATCTCTATTTGTTGCTGTTTTTGTATTGAAGCAAAAGAGTTCTTTGATAATCAGGAGGAATTGTAAAATTTGGAAGTAATAAATCATTTCCTCTGACATCGTATTGTTCTCTTGTTTTCAAGTCAATTTCTACTTCCTCCAGTTGGATTAATTCTCGTTGTTGTTCATATTCGTGTGCTTGATCGAATTCGTCTTCTTTTTCTTGATAATTAACGTTATCTTCCACTTCTTCGAAATCTGGAGCAAGAGCACTCCATTTTGGTGGTACTACAATAGACCATATATACACATCCCCAGATTCTAATCCATTACTTGCCAAGCACATGTTGTAGAAATTCCAATCGATATCCATAAGTTCTTCCTCCGACCCTTCAAGAACTCTAACAAGGGTGCCTGAACTTGTTTCCCAAATATATAGTTCGTGAGCTGATGAGCCATGAGTAGAGGCAACGATATATTCTGCAGAATTGTTGCTGAAAAATATCGAGTTCCATTGCAATTTGTTGATCACATCTTGGTACTTGTGGGTTAAATCTATCTCCACTTGGAGTTTTTCCTCGTTGGCTGTATCGTTTGAAACCTTTAATGAATATTGCCTTATAGTTCTATCAGAAGAGTTTATTCCTAATTTATCACCATTTTCAGAGATGATAATATGCTTGATGTTATAGTTACCGATCTTAAATGAATGGACCAGTTTTATATTGGATAAGGACTGTATTTGGAATATATTAATCCATCCTTTCGAGGTCCCAGTAATGACGATATTCCCTAGTTTTGGATGAATAGCTAGCGTTAAGGTATATCCTTTATTATTAACATTGCCATTTTCCATTTCAATATCATTTCTATCCTCTATTTGATAGACAGTGGGTGGTTCCAATTTAAAATCTATGAGAAAGGCATTTTGTTCCTCAAAGACGGTGGCCACTGCTAATTTGTCTTCGAAATCAAACCATTCACAATTCCATACAGGCGAGTCAAATGATAACTCGCTTTTATTTTTACCTGGATCATCGAGATCCCATAATTTCACAAACCAATCCCTTGAAGAAGTAATAATATACCTCCCACATGGTGACCAAGAGATGGACTGTATTGACCTCGTATGAGACCCCATATTAGTTCCCAGCACAGTAATGGGTTTAAAAGTATCCATATCATAAATGATAACTCCACCATTTGACGACCCTAAAGCAAGATAATCACCCACCGGGCTAAATTTAATACATTCAGTATGCAATGGATTCTCCAACGTATGAGAAAGCCTCTCGGGATACTCTTTCAACACAGAAAATGGATCTTGCAACAATAAATTCATTCCTCTGAAACTTTTTCCTAAACCTTTTTTTGTTTTATCCTTTGCTTGCTTAAAATACCCTTCCAAAAATATTCAATTCTAACCTCTAGAAACCAGTTTTTCCTTGGCTAACAACTTGATCTAGTGCAGTCCTAATCAAATACTCAATTACAACACTCGATAAACACCAAATATAGAGCTATAGACCCTTTATAACCCTGATAAATCCTCCTCATCCCAAAGTCATCTTAGTTCGAAATCAACTTTTTTTTCAACAGCTTCATCATCTTGTTCTTGTAAGAGGTGAAAAATTAATTTGATCAAGAATCTCAAAGTATTTAACAAAACAACACCAAAGATTTAAATAAGTTTAAGTAAGAATTGAATTGTTGGTAGATCTGTTTTAATTTTTGGTTAGTAAGATTGATTTAGAGATACATTGTGAGCTATTTGGTTGAGATGTTGTTTGATACTGTTTTGAAAGTTGTTCTTTTGTTATTTTTGTTCCCAGTTGAAACGTTTGGATTTTATTATTATAGTTCAACAGGTGAAAAGAAATGTTTCAATAAAGAGTTGTCTAAGGGTACTTTGTTGAAAGGTAAATATAATGTTCAAATTTATCAGGATGATTTGAAATCTTATATGGATGCTAGTGCTGATAAGTTGGAAGTTGTCATTGATGTTGAAGAAGTATTTGATGATAACCATAGAGTTGTACACCAAAAGGGTTCTCCATTAGGTGATTTTACCTTCATTGCATTGGATTCTGGTGAACACAGAGTTTGTCTAGAGCCTAATAACAAATCATGGATGGGTAATTCTAAAGCTAAGATTTCTATTGAATTCGAAGTTGGCTCAGAAGCTCAATTAGACTCAAAGAAGAAGCGTACAGTTGAATCTTTACATGAAAAGGTTAATATGTTGAATGCTAAAATTAGTGAAATTAAGAGAGAGCAAGCTTTAGTTAGAGAGCGTGAAGCTAATTTTAGAGATATTTCTGAATCTGCCAATTCAAAGGCTATGTGGTGGACCATTTTTCAAGTCGTAGCTTTAGGTGGTATCTGTGTTTGGCAAATGAAACATTTACGTTCTTTCTTTGTTAAACAAAAAGTTTTGTAAGCTTTTTGATTGTACTACCAACTTCTCCTCCCCCCCATATATTTGATTCTTACTTTTTTGATGAAAATAACAGTAATTCTAATATCAATAATATTTACTGCATAGTCAGTAAATATATTTTTTAAATTAACATATGTATATATTTATATATATCTATAAATTTCAAATTCAATTTCAATTTCAATTGTGAATATACATACACTGTTAACAAACTTCTTGTTCACTAACTACAATTGTTATTTTGTTTTATTATGGATTCTACATCAAAATTAAATATAGTAAGTAAGTAATAAATTACAAAAAGATTTTGGAAATTATTCATATTAGGATAAATGATTATTTATCTCTAGTTGAAACCAGCATGGATATTTTCAAAATACAAACATTGATTCATATTTCTTAACTTTCTCTTCTGCTACTGAATTTGGATCAATGTTGGATGGATTTGGGTTCTCGAATGAGAAGGAGCTTGGTTCTTCAATTTTATTCTGTTTCCCATCTGAAATTTTCTCAACCTCAATGACTGGTTCCTCCGACTTATTACTCAATTTAGGACTAAATGCAAATGGCTTCTTCTTTGATTTATCATCAAATTTAAAAGCAGGTTGAGGTTGACTAAATACTTCCCTAATTTCAGTTGGCTCTGGTTCAAGTTTTTTGAATATTGAACTTGATGTGTCTGTTACATCACTTGTTGGTTTTGATTCGCCAAAATTGAATGTGGAGGTTGGAGTGGGGGTGGACAATGGTTTCAAGATAGAAGTTGAAGTCTCCTTTTTTGGTGCCTCACCTTGGTCCTCAATGTTTGTGCTACTAGCAGGACTCTTAAATTGAAATGTAGGGAACCCTGGAGAATTAACTCTGTTGGAACCAGATTCAATGGCGGCATCTGCGGTTACAACTGCCGAACGTAATGAAGAAGATCTATTTGGCTTATATTTATCGAATGTTATAGGCTGAGAAGTACCCTCATTTGGTTTCAATGCATTATATGAGTTTTTCTTGGACTGTCTTTCCTCTGTATCAATCGATTCAGTTTTTGATTCGGATTTAGAAGATTCTCTCTGCTCATTTAATGGCGCAACTGTTTTTGCAGTATCAATAGGAGCAGGAGACATTTGCTGTTTCTGTTCTTGAAGCTGTGTTAAATGAGATGAATAAGGGTTTGCCAAATTTGATGCGAGCTGTTGGCTTACTTGTTGGTTTTCTAATAAGGATATTAATGCAGATGCAGTATTTGTTATTTTTTTGGTACTTTCTTTTACTACTGGTTTTCGTACCGATGTATTTCTAACAGCATTAGAGGTATCTGAGGTTTTATTGTCTTTCCCAGCAATCACAGAGTGGTATCTATAAACAGTAGTTCTATAAGGGGAAGGCATGCTGGAATAATCAAATACTCTCATTTTTGTTGAGCTTCTCATACTTGAATTTGCAGAAATATTAGATGCAGTTGATAAATCATACTTTGGAATAAATGTAGGTGGTTTAAAAGAGCCTCTTCTTGAAGATGGAGCAGAAGCTTTCAATATTCTTGAAGACTCGAAATCATTGAATGCATGCAAATCCATTGAATCATTTGCTTCTGAGCCATGAATGGAAATACCCGATTTATTTAACAATGAAAAAACACCTTCTTTCTCCATATCTGACAATGGTTGATCACCTTTTTCACTGAAAAACTTGGCTAATCTTGCATTAGATGTATTCGCATCAATATTTTCCCTAGATTCTATTATACTAGAGTCTAAAACAGAAATATCTTCTTGGATAAAACTACCTTTCTTATTTTTCTCAAGAACTATATCCTTAATCCTCGAAACAGAAGTGTCTGGATTGAAAAATCCCCCAGGCAAAGGAGAATTTTCCCTCTTGGAATTTGTAGAACTCTCCGTGCCTCTATTATCAGAACTATCTTCATTAGTCGGTACAGAACTATCTAAAACTTTATTGACCAAACTCTTAACTTTGGACAAAAAAGAAAGCTTCGTTCTTCCACTAGCAGTTCCTGCACTCTTACGGTACTGTTTGCTGTTTTTACTCATCGGAAATAAATCTGCACACTATAGAATATACACCAATAAATCAATTAGTCCTATGTGGTAATCTAGATAACAATAGTAATGGAAATAATACTACTTCAATCTCAACCAACTGGCTTAAACTCAAATATAACAGTAATAAAAACCAAAACAAATTTTATTATTCAATACCAAAATGGATCCGGTTTAAACCCAATAAACTATAAAATTATCTGCACTAGAGTAATGGCTCACAATTGGTTCGATATACTAGTGATTTGGACCAATAACTTATCATGAAAGTGGTTATTTTTATGAGTTCTTTTTAAAAAGTTGCATTGAAAAGTTACCATAATTTAAAAAAAAATTCTGTCAGCTTTTCATTTTTGCTGCTCTGAGAGATATTTGAAGCGTTAAAAAAAATTTAAAAAACAAATTGGGGCGAGCTGGGAATTGAACCCAGGGCCTCTCGCATATTTGAATGATTTGTATCCCAAGTGTAACTCAGAATTCGCCCAAAGCGAGAATCATACCACTAGACCACACGCCCGTGTTATTTGTTGATACTTTTCGAAAATAGATGTCTATTTAAATAGTATATAGTGTCATGATTATTTTTTTTTCTTCTTTCTCAATGCTTACTATTAAGAGATCTGATAATTGTAAACCCATTGAATTAATCTGTAAATTATTCCATTAATTATGAAAATCTTTTCTTAATCCAAAGGTCTCTATTTTAGGGAAAAGTTTGGTTTTTGATGGTAATTTTGTCATTTACCTACATCTGTCGTTAAACTTTAGTAACAAATTTAAAGATTCATAAATTAAACATTAAATTTTAATTACTTTGGTACTTTGAAAAACATCGTTCTGTCCCCACCCTGATACTGTTAGATCATTAGTAATATTACGCAACTGATACATTCCCACATCTATGATTTATTCTTGTTGTCACTAATTGATACAGATCTCCCTAATTTCAACTTTGGAATCTGAAGTTGATAAAATATACATAGAGGATGTATGTTTCATTGACCTATTTATGTCAATTACGTTTTTCTATGTGTTTTTGATATACCATATTTATTATATATGGTGACACTGATTTTGATTTGTGTAGTCTTAAGCGTTTCAATATGTCCCTTATATTTTCGTATAATCCATAAGATCGATTTGTGAAGGTCTGAAATCTATTAAAATAATCCTACTGGTTGAATTGGGATAACCTAATAATAAAGATTCCTTCCCACCCCAATAGGATATCATTTTCTTACCCATTGAAACCAGAGGCATGGAAACTTGTTTTTCTCTTTGTACTAATAAAATATCAGCTAGGATTAAGGTGCAACGAAATGTTTAGTGTTATTAATTATCTACATAACCCTACAACGTTGAATACTCACATACATACACCTACATACAAATGGATACTCATATTTCCACGGCTATTTAACATCTGGGACGGATTTCCAATATAATGATAGATAGGTTCCAAAAATGTATCTAATTTGCCCGTTTAATTACTTTTAATATCAATGATAGCTAATTTAGGAGAATAGATCATCTTCTTCATTGTCCCAACTGGAGTTAAAGAACCAGGAGAAGGTAACAATACTGCCATAAATTATCATACCCCCTAGCATACTCATTACACAACTCTCAGATGTAATCAATTGTGAATGTCTGAAAACTAATGGTAATGCAATCCCACTGGTTACTAACATACCGGTCAAGAAAGATGCAAAATCATTACTACTGTTCATTCCAGAATCTGACATAAAAGTTGCAGAGCTGGAGTTTCTTTTACTGAACAAAGCATTAGGTATAGGTGCTAATAAAAAGATTAAAACGTCATATAAAGGATAATAATTGTGGAACAAAGCACAACTTAACGTAACCAGGAGAAATCCCATTGCTAGAAACCCAGATAAAGAAATAATCTTAGTAAGTGGCGATACTTTAAACTCCAACATCTTTCTTTCTTTTAATTTTTATCAGTCAATCAATTAATCAATCTATTACTACAGGAAAAACACAAAACTTTCCAGAATCGTTCAGCAACAGTAATGAAGTATAATAACAACCTCAGGATATACTCTTGTCAACGTTGCCTAACTTTTTAAACATCTAATGTTTACTTTATGTATTCTATTTTTAAGGATATGACTATCTATTTAATATAAAATTTCAATTAAATTCTAATTCTGTAAAGGAGGCGGATTTCAATAAATATTTAAGGTTTTGCTATACAAACAAAACATGGATAATAATTGAATGAGTTGTACTATATACATCATAACATTACTTTAATAGACTATTTATATGGTAATATATCTAAAGACTAAATACAGGATTTATTAATAATTATATTTAGGAGAAAATTTTGTAGGAAACAAGTTGAAGGGTAGGTAACAAAAGATTAACATGATTATTGTTTGGTTTCTCCATTGTTAGCATTATTTTCGGATTGGTTCTTGTACATTTGTTCGAATAACTTCATGGAGGAGGTTTGTAATTCTTCGGTCTTGGAAGTTAAATCTTCAGCATTGACTTCTTCACCAGCTTGGACTCTAGCAATAACTTCTCTTAAAGAAGTGATTTGGTCAGTAACCTTTTGAGCTTCAGCCTTGTCAACCTTACCTTCGAATTCCTTCAAAGAAGCTTCGGTATCGTTGGCCAATTGGTCTGCTTTGTTAGCAGTTTCAATGGACTTCTTTCTAGCTTCATCTTGAGACTTGAACTTTTCGGCATCATTAACCATTTGTTCAATTTCGGATTCAGATAGACCAGATGAACCAGCAACAGTAATAGAAGCATCCTTGTTGGAGGCCTTATCTCTGGCAGAAACGTTGATGATACCATCAGCATCAATATCGAAGGAAACTTCAATTTGTGGAACACCCTTTGGAGCTGGTGGAATACCAGATAAAGTAAAGTTACCAATCAATTTGTTGTCTCTAACTAATTCTCTTTCACCTTGGAAGACTCTGATTTCAACAGAGGTTTGACCAGCAGCAGCGGTAGAGAAGATTTGGGATTTCTTGGTTGGAATAGTAGTGTTTCTTGGAATCAATCTTGTGAAGACACCACCTAAAGTTTCAATACCCAAGGATAATGGTGTAACATCTAACAATAAAACGTCAGTAACTTCACCGGATAAAACAGCACCTTGAATGGCAGCACCAATAGCAACAGCTTCATCTGGGTTAACAGCCTTAGATGGTTCTTTACCAAACAAAGACTTGACGGTTTCAACAACCTTTGGCATTCTGGACATACCACCAACTAACAAGACATCAGAGATATCTGATGTGGACATGTTAGCGTCTTTCAAAGCTTTCTTAACAGGGTCGACTGTTCTTTTGATCAGAGGTTCAGTCAAAGTTTCGAATTGAGCTCTGCTAAATTTCATGTTAATATGTTTTGGACCAGAAGCATCGGCAGTGATGAAAGGCAAGTTAATTTCGGTAGAAACGGTGGAAGATAATTCAATCTTAGCCTTTTCAGCAGCTTCTCTAATTCTTTGAATAGCCATACGGTCATTTTCTAAATCAATACCAGATTCAGTCTTGAAACGGGAGACAATTTCTCTAACTAAGGAAATATCGAAATCTTCACCACCCAAATGAGTATCACCGTTAGTAGATTTAACTTCAAACACACCATTGTCAATATCCAAAATGGAGATATCGAAAGTACCACCACCTAAATCGAAGACAGCAACAACCTTAGAGTCTGATTTTTCCAAACCGTAGGCCAAAGCTGCAGCAGTTGGTTCGTTAACAACACGTAAAACATTCAAACCGACAATTTGACCAGCATCTTTAGTAGCTTGTCTTTGAGAATCGTTAAAATAAGCTGGGACAGTAACAACAGCGTTCTTAGCTGCTTTACCCAAGTAAGCTTCTGCAGTTTCCTTCATCTTATTTAAAACGAAACCACCGATTTGAGCTGGAGAATAGGTTTGACCTCTAGCTTCAACCCAAGCATCACCGTTACTATGTTTAACGATCTTGTATGGAACTTGCTTGATGTCTCTTTGGACTTCAACATCTTCAAAACGACGACCAATCAAACGTTTAGTAGCAAATAAAGTGTTTTCTGGGTTAACAACAGCTTGACGTTTAGCTGGAATACCAACTAAACGTTCACCATCCTTAGTAAAAGCAACAACAGATGGTGTGGTTCTAGCACCTTCAGCATTTTCAATAATTTTTGGTACTTTACCTTCCATAATAGCAACTGCAGAATTAGTAGTACCTAAATCGATACCAATAACAGTACCTTGAACCTTGGTAGATTGCAAACGGGTGGCAACACGGTTACCACCAAATTTAGAACCTCTTAATAAAACGTTTCTAGCTCCTAACATTATGTTCAACTCTCTATATATTTCCTATAGCTCCCAATTTTAAAGATTACTGCTTTGAATTCAATATAACTATTAAATAAAGCAATAAAAATATAATTAACAAAAATTGAGATACAATTTATTGTCTTGTTATCACTGACTTCTCCAATGATAACTGAACTGAATTAGAATTGAATTTAATTTAAACATGAACCTCTTTCCATTCTTATTTAAACTGGTTTGATCCTTTATTAGAAGGTCGTAATCAGTCATTTCTTGCTTGTTTGAAGGTTTTGAATAAAAAAAATTTCACTCATGGTATACAGCATTAATGACGAAACGAAATTTTAATGATGAAAGCATGATCAATGGTTTACAACTAAAGTGACGGTGTAATTAAAACAATTAATTAATTGTTAACTTGAAAAAGATTTAGTATTCAGATTATGTACACTTATAGATTATTTATCAATTGATATATCTATGTCTATATATAAATTTTAATTTATCTTGTCCTTCTACAAGGGCATATTTCCTTGAAATTTGGAGGAGTGGATGGAGGGCCCTTTGAAAAGGATATGAGGAGGAGCTTTAGATAAAACATAGGGATTTCAGACTTCAGTACGGTCAGAGTCATAATTAATGTGTTTCAGTTTTATAAGAAACCATGTTATTCCTGTGTGCTATCCTTGAGTTTCGTAGGAAAACAAATAGGTTTAAGCGATTTCGATGGAACGAATGGTAATATCAGCTGGCTTGTCATCCATAAAGAAATATTTGAAGAAATACTCAGCAGCTAAAGAACCGAAGAAATCAAGGAATAAAGTTGAGGTCAATTTAAATTTGAAGACTTCATCCATTGGGACAAAACTTAGGGATTCGTTTAATTCGGGGATAAATTCAGTGGCACCAGCAACTGCTAGACATGTAACACCGATCAAACCATAGTACATACCTTTATTATTAGAGATGTTTTCTCTAAATGGTTCACCTTGATAGTTAACGGCAAATGTAGAAATTTGTTGGGCTAATTGGACCAAGAATATACCAGTGTTTAATAACGATGGACTGAATTCCTTTTCCAAGTCAACTTGTGGTTCTCTTGGTTCTAATTTATAAATTTCAGTTGTAATATAGATCAGGGTAAAAATATGGACAGCAAATTGTGATAAAATGGACCCCATAATGTAAACGTTAAAGATACCAGCTTGTGGTCTTGTCTTAGATAACTTTTCAATTGGCTTACCACGAGAAATACTTAGGAAACAAACAGATAATAATAGACCGGATGCAGTAGCTTGACCATCACCAAATTTAACACCTGCTAAATAGATAACAGACAGAGAGTAGGCACTAATCAAACAATTTAAGGCTAGAATCTTATACATTTGAATAGTGTTGACCAAAGCACAACGACCTTGACGAATAATGTGTGTAACAGCAGAAACATTGGCTAACTTGGAAGTAAATGGAGCAGCACAAGATGCATCACCAAGCTTTAGAGTTGGAACTTCTTCGGCATCTGCATCTGAAGAATTCATTAACAATGAAGCAAGATCACTACCACTTGGTTTGCCTTTGGATGTATCAATTGGTTTAGGAGCTTCTGCAGGTTTAGAATTAGCCTTAGTAACCAAGTCTCTGATTTCAGGAGTTATTGTAACACCGGTTTTTTCCAAAGCCTTCAAATAATGTGGATTCTTAGGACCTGGTGGATAACAATGAGCAATTAATTCAGGAACAATTGGAGCTGGTTGGCCCCATTTTCCAAATAATTCAATTTGCTTGTTATAGACATTCTTCATATTTTCAATTCTTCTATCTTCAATCATTTTTTTCATACCTTCTTCAGAACCGTTCAATAGAGCAACACCAATATGAGCTTGTTTTAAGGCACCAACATCATTGGTACCGTCACCGCACATCAATGTTTTATAACCCATATCCTTCAATTCGTTCAAAATAAATTCCTTTTGAGATGGGGAAACACGAGCATAGACCCAAGTATGACGAAGCAAATCTCTTAATTGGGAATGTTTCTTTAACAAATCCAAAGCATAACCAGTTACAGCAATATCATATTTATCAAAAATTTTAGCACGATCAAATTTATCCGCATTTGGATTGAAAGGAATCTTAACCGATTCATCAACAGTAAAAAATAGAAGTTCATCATTTGATTCACTAACTCTATCCAAGATTAAAGTTGATCTTTCAACAATAGAGACTTCCTTAGCAACATGAACAGCAGTTAATGGATTATCACCAGTAATCATAACACAACGATGGGATGATTCATTTAACATTTTAATAGTTTCGATAGCATCAGACTTCAAAGGACAGTGGAAAATCAAAAAACCATCAAATGTCAAACGTTCTTCGACATCTTCACGTTGTAAGTTATCAATGTCAGAATTAGACATTTTCTTCAAGTTCTTGGAAGCCAAAGCCAAAACTCTAGAACCAGAACGAGTAAATGACTTGTAAATTTCATCATAATTCTTAGGAACAGTAGTTAATCTTTCACGAATAGTTTCAGGGGCACCTTTAACGGCAGCAAACATTTTACTTTTGTGGGAAGCAACAGACGATGATCTTTTTAAAGCAGAAGAAAATTGGAAACGACGTAAAATTTTGATATCACCAATATCTTTCTTACTTGCAATATCCTTATCATTAACCTTCCAGCCAAAAGCTTTCAATGTAGCCTTTTCCATTGGATCACCAACCACTTCACCATCATCCAATCTAACCAAAGCATGTGCAGCACCTACTACTAAAACTGTGTTTTGTGGAGCTTCTGCAGCTGAATAAGAGTGACGAATGTCTTCAACGTCTTCAGATAAACCAGCTAAACTTTCGAAGACCAAATCTTCACCGGTCAAAGTACCAGTTTTATCAAAACAACAAACATCAATTCTACCAGCTAAAGGAATTCTAAAAGGTTCTGTACAGTAAATATAGAACTTTGACAAGGCACCTAAAGAACTGTTTACAGCCATAGTCAATTCCATTGGTAACTCAGGTGGAACAACAGAAGTAATAATTAAAATACAATCAAGGATTAACTTAGATTGAATTCTACCCATTCTAGTACCTTCGACCCAGACATACCAAGAAGCGAAGATAGCGAAATTCAATAAGAATAGAATAAAGAATAATGCTTCCTTATTATCAACTGAAACACGTTCAGAGGAGAAGATCATAACACGAACCAAGGAACCTTGTGAAGTTTCAAAACCAGTTTTGGTTACAACCGCCAAAGCACCACCATCTGGTGGTAATGGAATACCACCAGAAGCTGATTCTGGAGCAGTGACTTGAAGAGCTTTGGTACCACCATGAAGAATAGAATTTTTATCAAGATCATTGATTTGTAAGTAATCATCTTGAGGACGTAATTTAATTGATTCTTTCAAAAGAGGAGTAGATTCACCAGATAACATAGCTTCATTGACAATACAAGATCCATCAACTAGAACCAAATCACAAGGAATAGCGCTGTCTTCAGCAGTTCTAGTGATAGAAATCAAATCCATTGGTAGTAATTGGTCAGATTGAATAGCTTGCCATTTACCATCTCTGTAAACGTATAGTTCAAAAGGTTTAATACCCATGGTTCTAAATTCATTCAAAGTAGTCAAACGTTGGAAGACTGAAGCAGCTTCCATTGAGACCACGACAAATAAGTTGAACAAAGAATAATACCAAAATTCATCTAATAACCATAAAGTGATGCAAAAAAGTTGAAAAATGAATAAAGGTGCGACTGCATGTTCTTTAAACAATTCTAAGAATTTTGGAACAGGGACATCAAAGGAATTTGTACCATAAAGTCTTCTGGAATGAGTCAAGTCACCTTTTAAACCTTTACAATTTACAAAATCACCAATTTTTGGTGAATTATCAATCAAAAACTTTGGTGGAGAGAAAACGTTTTCCTTTTCATGCCATAAGAATCTCTTCTTTTGGAATTCAAAGAACACTTGTAGTACGCCATCTTCTGTAACTCTTTGGATAGATACAATTCCATCAGAACCATTATTTGAAGTAGTATGTAATAAAATATTACTAGCTTCGTCTACAGATTTAACACTAGTATAGTTAAACAAAGCATTTATCTTAACATTCCAAGAAGGCATTAAAAATACCAATAAATGAATTGAAACAATGCTACCTAAAACAACAAAAGTCCATTCAGAACCACCTAGATAACGATCGTAATCTGTTAAATAAACTTGTAAAAAAGTTGCATATAATGGGAAAAATGGTAAGAAGTATGGCTTTGAGACCATACTTCTTGGAATCAACAATTTGGAGTCCCTGACAATAGGGCTCACAACAGTTGAACTCATAATATCACTCACTAGGCCTATATGTAAGCTTCCTAATCTTTTTTGCTTTCTGAAAACCTATTATTAATAATACCAAACACCTAAAATTAAAAATAAAGCTTGTTTTTAAGAATATTATGATACATTTAAGTAATCAAATTCAACATCTTACTTTATTTTTTTTGTCTGCCTTTTTTTTTTTTTTCATTATTGAATTGGAATCGTTCGTTGTAGAACCTCTTGGAAACGAACAAATATCACTTTTTTTCTTTAAATGGCCAAGCCGGGACATACAGGCACGTGACTTTCAACAAAAAAGGCAAAATTTCATTTCGTTAACATTTGTTCAGGGTAACACACAATGCCATTCGTGAGCGGCAAAAGTCATGTGACAGTTATTAATATGTCTCAAATCCAATCAGAGTCATCAAACGTTTCTCTCTCTCAGTATTTGAACGTTCTTATTTTGATTAGATATTGTAATGCATAGTAATCAAGGCGAGGATTCATTTCTAGAAATTATATAACGTAGTGTCAACACAATGAGAAATTCGTTCATCTATCGTTGCAGATGGTTATCCTATATGTTGTAATATACCTATTCCATACCAAAGAAAAATAACGTAAAACAAAATAAAGTAAAGTAAGGGAAAATCAACTTTTACAAGAAATCATTTGATATCAGAACTAACATTTATATATATATATATTACCTCTCTTAATATATTAAAAAAAAATAAGCAAAGTTACCCTGTTCTAGGTGCTGGTTTTGGTATTTCTTCTATTTAAAAAGACACGAAAGCGGCATCACTTATTCTGAGAAATATGGAACGGCGCTATCTACATTTTTACTTTTACATGGTAAATGATATGTTTCCTTATGTTCATAAGTATATCTATCTATCTATATATCACGTCATCTATTGTTCATATAATAACCAAGATAAATACGACTCTATGCCCTCTGATAAAGGCTGGTTAGAAATTAATAATACAGATTTAACATATGTAATTATATATATATATATATATTCTTACTTGATAAAAGTTGTGAGTGATTGAATCGGATTTCATAAATTAATAATTCGATAAGTTTAATGCAGGGTGTATGAAATAAAGATTATGAGAATATGATTTTCGTTGTCCAAGAAAGAATAAACACCAGATATATAAAAGAGGACTTCATCATTTCCATTTTTATACTTTCTAAACTCTCCAAACTTTATTATCAGTTACCATTAAATTATTTCTTTCTGACATGACCCTTAAACCTGCAAGATATTCTTGAACAGTGAACTTATCTTCATCACCCAATCTTTCATTAATTTCAGTTAATAACGCATCAATAGGATACGATTCATCATCAAATAAATCGGATTGCATTAAACTTGCAATAATTCCTGAAAATACTGATAATCTACCTGTAGATATAGTTTCCATTTCACCGTCTTCAAAACAATTGTTTCACTTTCATCACTGGGATTGTCCTGGAAAATGGTAAGGTAATCTTGGGGGATCAGTTAAAGGGCCCATTTCCGAATAATGGGGGTAGGTTGAATTTCTACGTCTTGGGGGAGACTCCTATAATTACGCTCCTAATTCTTCTTCCTAACTCCTTGTTCTTCAGAACAAAAATTGTTTCCTATAAAAAATATCTTCATCCCCCGGAATAATCCCCCAAAAAATCTCCATTTGTCTCCTTGTACCCGAAGGGGTTAAATAGGGGGGTCTTTCTTCCCCTCTCAAGAGGGGAAAAAACGCGGCTAAAACTTTAAACCTTTGTCCTTCTTGAGAAAAGCCTTGGAAAAACCCGTGTTAAAGAATTCTCTAAAACC